ACACACACACACACACACACACACACACACACACACACACACACACATATATATATATATATATATACATATATATGAAAACATGTATTAACATTCACACATACATTACAGAATACATATAAAATTATAAATAGTATTCTGTTTTAAAATTTCATTATTAATTATTATACAAAATGTTCAAAAAGTACCAAATTTTAACAGTATGTAGTAAATACCAGGTTTATTTCGTATTTGTTGACAAGAGTTTGCAATTTTCCGTACCAATTCATCTAATGTGTCAACTGATGTAGCGTACACCATGCTTTTCACAAATGTTCCCATAAATAAAAGTCTAACGAATTTAAATCCGGTAAGTGAGGTAGCCATGCAACTAGACTGCTACGTCCTATCCACTTTTCTTGAAAACAATTGCTTAAATGTTGTTTAACAATCATGAGACAATACGCAGAGGCACCATGATACTACATACTGTTAAAATTTGATACCACCTTTTTTGAACACTATATAATAGAATTTAAAAGTATGTTTAAAAAAAAATATCGTAGAATTGCTACAAAAAGTGCAACTACAAAATAAAATTGACATAAGACATGTTCCTTTTCTGAAAAGGAACAATTGTATTCGCTTTCTTTATTGATTTAAAAAAAATAAATTCTTATAATAAGATTGTCAAAATAACTCAATATTATTAGATCAAAACCTTGAGCATGATGCATTATGCATTATGTAATTTACATGTGACGAATTTGTCTTATTTTACTCAGATTTTGAGATTATACTGCAACAGTACTTACGTAAGAATTAATAATCGCGCTATAATTGCAATAAAACTCAATTTTCTTTGAATTTTCTACGCGAAATTACATGCTTGATGTAAATTTAGAATCAATTTTCATCGAATAATATTGAAATAAATGAAGCCTGTATAAAAAATATTTTATTTCAATGTAAAAAATGTATGTATTAAAATCGTCTCATATGTTATATTTCTGTTCGGATCAGAAAATTTGTAGATAAAATTTATAAATAACAAAGAATAAATTTTATAAAGAGGGTAAAGTTTTCTTACATAAACTAGAAAATAAGATTTTATTAGAATATAAGAATTTTTGCGACATACACAGTACAAAGTATTTTATTCCAATAAAAAATTATTCTATCAATGTCACAGGTAAATGTTGTGTCTGTATCAGTTTTGCAGATACTTATATATAGTTCTGTAAAAAAAATATCTCGTCGAGAAATATGTATATCTTTTTAATGTCAATAGCAAGAATAAAATTGCAAAAGTAAAATTAAGGATAGGAGCTAAAAATAAGTTTATTATTTTTTTTTTAAAGAGAAGTGTATTTTTGCTGCAATATTTTATTTTGATTCAAATTTTTTTCTTTACTTGACACTTACATCATTAATAACAGACGACGAAAGAAATATTATCAGAGACTCTGGAATCTTTTGAGCGCGCACGTGCAGCGCTGCAGAACAGTTTCTTTTTTTTTATTAAAAGATTTAAATATACTTATGCAATGCAGAAGTTGTAACAAATAAGGTGTATATTTTGTTTGCATAATTTTTACAAAAAAGTAGCTAAATATTTAAAACAAAATGCCAATGGCGATCCGGATGAAATAATTTGGTGCTCATTATTTTACAAATATTTATAAGATAGATTCCAAAACATCAAATAATAAATTAAAATATCCTTATATATGACAAATACAAACGGTATCACTTATAATTAATGATGCAAGATATTATATATGTATTGTATAAAAATATTATGTATATAAACACTTAATTATTTGTGTAAGTAATAGCAAACCTGATAATTTTCAGCATAAAAAGCGTATTATAGAAATTGATATTGCGTATTTTTTGTGACTTATCTTTATACAATTATATCATTAAAATTCCGTTATATATTTTGTCATGTATATTTTCTGTTAATATTGTTAATATTCTTAAGTAACTGCATAGAATATAATAGAATAGATATGTATAATATAAAAATATAATGATTGCACTTTTTTTTCATTTACATCAATTTTTACATGCATTTATAACGTCTGACAATTTAAGTTACATACATGTTATATATGTATGTACATATCTATATATAATATACCATGTAAATTTGCAAAAAGTGTACAAAAGTTTTAGATACACGCTTGTATACAAGCATTTCAATCATTTAAATACGAATGAACAAATATTGTTTCTCTTCTCTATCTGTTTCCAACTTGAAAATTATATTTCGAAACCAACTAATCAATGATTCAGTGATAAAATTGCCGATAAATATGTTCTGTATCTCTTTCAAAGTAGACTTCTTGGAAACGGTGTGTACGTTGGGAACGCCGTTCCCAAGGTTTTGCCATTCCTGAAAGCAGTACCTGGAGCTCCGTGTAATTCTTTTGCCCTTCCCAAAATGAAAAATCTGTTAAAAGGTTGCCATCACGGGACTCTCGACCAGATCCAAAAGGCCACACGCGCTGAACACATTCACAGACATGCGGACTTCCAGCATTGCTTCCAGGAATGGTAGAACTTTGGAAACGGTTTGTGCGTTCCCAAGGAGCCTACTTTGAAGGAGATCCGAAGTAATTGTTGCTCGGATATGTAATAATGGGCTATAATAAATTCATTCTCATTACTTTTGGGACACATCTCGTAAATGCAATATGTCAATGGTAAATATTCCAATATATAAAGTCAGTCTAAATAACATTAATCTTGATATTTATAATCAAGATCACTACTCCGAGTAATTTTAAAAAGATTTTAGCCGTCGTTTGTTGTTTAATAAAAAATTATTAAACAATTAAGTAAAATATGTAATTAAGTTTTGTATGCGTAACCTAATGTAGCCTAATAAATGTCAAAGTCTCGAACAATTCATATCTCTGGCGAAAATAGTTCCTCGTAACGAGAGAAGGCTATATCATTGAACATTGATATAACGAATCTGGAGGCTAGCTCTTCAACTGCTGCTGAAACAGCTTTAACAACTTCCTTTGTATTTTTGGATACGACATCGTCAATAATCTTATGCAACTCAGCTAATTCTTTTTTGTCCTCAGTAAACTTATATTTGAATGATTTGATGTCACATTTGGCGGTTGCTTTCGACGCAAATATATATTTTTTGCCGTTTCTGGTTATCACTTTTAAGTCCAGGCCTACTTTCAATCCTACGTTTTCTGCAAAAAATACATTCTAATAATAAAATAAAATAAAAATACTTTAAAAAAGTAATACTTTAAATTTTCTATGCTAAAATAAAAAAAAAGTTTTGTCTTTTCTCTAAACTTTCCTTTTATTTTAAAGTAGAATCAATTATTTTACCTGCAGTAATGTCAGCTGGCCCCTTATGAGCAACGGGCACCAACAGATGTATATTAAAATCATACGTGACTTTTATATAAATATGTCGTAATAAAAAATCAATATCGAAGTGGAGCTTTTCAAAATCTGTATTAACCGAATTTACGACGAAATCACAATATCTATATAGTTTCACATCTTTGAGATCCAATTTAATATTATTTGCGTCAAAAATAACTATTTTGTCGATAGTTAATGGTTCGCTTGGTGGAATGTTCAATTCTGAAAATCCTGCGCAAACTTTATCTTTTACACTATCGATGCTGTTTGCAATGCATTGATTGTAATTGGTATCCTTGTGGCTACAGGCGTGAAGGTAGGAAGCTGCAGTGTTTAAATCATTTTCTTAATTAACTTGCGATTTTGAATTAAACTGTTTACGATTGATTTATACATTGATAATAGATTTGAAATCTTGGACAAAATGTTTTCTTTTAATTTTATAATTTTTAAATTTTCAGCAAATATTTATTTAAAAATATTTTTACTTAAGTTTACTTAAAACATATGTACAAAAAAAATTATATGTTGGTGCTTTTCGAAAGATTTTATACAAGCCAAACTCATGTCTACTAAAATGTAACAAAGCTTTATTTATGTGTAAAATAGAAAAGTTCGTGAGTACATATATATAGCGATGGAAATAAAAACACATTTTTTTATTTACTTACGTAGTGTTGCTGTAACATGTGTTGTTATAAGTCCAAAAGCAAAAATTATGGCAAACATCTTCCAAGCAAAAGAAATTTACAAATTTTTACGAATTTGTTAAGATTGTTAAGATATACACTGTATAAAGAATAGCCGTATTATCATCTCAAAAGCAACCAAGATGACTGAATCCACATAAACTGGTATCAAGCTTATATATATTCGTGTTGCCTTTTATTTTCTTTGATTGGACTGCCAATTAATTTTGTTTCAGTGACAGATTGATTTTAAAAATACGTCTACTTTGCATTTATAGGATTTTAGCAGATTCGCCGAATTCATAAATAGAGTCTATTCATTAATTCGGCGAATCTGCTAAAATCCTAATTAATTGCAAACTAGTGAATTTTGTACACGTGGAAATATGTAGCATTACTTAATATTACATGTAATAATTGAATAAAATAATATAGTTTTATGTATTTTTATTAGTATAAAACTATATTTTTTCTTAAAAAAAAAATTGTTGCTTATACTTTATTGAATAGAGTATACTTGCATTTACAGGATTTTAGCAGATTCGCCGAATTAATGAATAGTCGACTATTTAAATAGCATACATAAATTTATTATACATATATTGTATATTTATTTATAATAAATTTGAATGTATTTCAATATGCCCAGGGCACGCCAAGTTTTTGAGTCTTGATGTTAAGTTTTTCCTTAACTTCTCACCTGGATATTTCAGCGTTTATTATTAATACACATGCAGAGAACCAACGAATTAATACAACAAAGTGTAAATGAGAGAGCTAAGTACTTTTTACTTAATATATAGATAGCGGTACTAAAAATTGTAATTCAGATTATGACATTAATACTATATATTATGTACATGGTTAATTGCATTGATCTCACGTCTATTTTTGAACGAGGTTAATTTTAGACATCTATTTTTTTCAAAATCTACATATATACTTTGGTTTGTTATGTACTTGGTTACCATTTCTGTAATATGTCAAAAAGAATAAAATTGCAGAAATAAAGAGAAAATTGATAATAGATAAGTAATTGATGTAATTATCAATTTGACTACATACATTCCATATCAATGCTTAGCATTTTAGCAACCTTGACATTTTATAAAAATACTCTCACTGGTTCTCAGAATGCGCTATAAAAAGTTGTGCAATCTTTTTATTCTACAGTATAAATTAAAATCAATGTTAAAAATTAACATACATTAAGCGTTCATTGTCTATTTTAAGAGGTAAATGAAACCATTTGTATTTCGTGTATTTTCGTTTATTTAAGGCTTGAAGAATATGTATTTCCTAAAAATTTAAATTTAAAAATACTAGTGAAATTACATGCCTCTAAAGAGATCAACGCGCAAGTAAAAAATATAGTATGTGACGTATTTTCGATACAAATATATAAAAAAAACCTTAAATAAACATCTGGCTCTTAGATCGAATATAATTAATTTTTTTCTTATACTGTAAAGTTCCTATAACAAGTCATTTTCGGGAAAGAATTCTTCGTAATTAGATTGAGTTACGTTGTTGAACATGTTGATATATAGTTCGGAAAATTTCCTTTCCAATACTGGTTTAACAGCGTTAATAATAATATCTTTATTCTCGTCAAAGACAGCACTAAAAATTTCATTTAATTGACCTAATTCCTTTCCGAACTGATATTCAAAATCTGTAACCTTGGAACTCACGGTTGCTTTCGATGCGTATACATGTTTTTTACCATTTTTGATTACCGTTTTCAAGTCCAACTTTGTGTTTGTTTCCACATTATCTGCAAAAAAATACACATTTTTATCAATTTAAATAAAATCTAATTTTAAATCTTTTATGCTAAATTTCATTGAAACTTTTGTTTTCCTTTAACATAAGATCAATTATTTTACATACCCGCAATGATGAGTAATATTCCTTTGTGAGCGACTGGTACTAGCAGACGTATATTAAAATCGTACGTGGTGTTTATGACAAATCGCATTAGATAATTAAAATTAAAGTGGAGCCTGTCAGGGTCCACATTAATGGAGGTTATAGCAAAGTCGCAATTTCCATATACCTCTACATTTTCAAGATTCAGTTTGACATTAGGTTCGTCGAAAATGACAATTTTGTCAAACATTAATGGCTCAACCATTGGAAAACCCGGAGTCCCGTTGCAAAATTTGTCCCTCAAATCGATAATGTTGTCCGCGATGCACTGATTATAGTTGGGATTGTTGCGGCCACATACATGAATGAAGGAAGCTGTTAAATTATTTTCATTAATTTGCAAATATAAAATTAAACAATCTAAGATAAAAGAAGTTTAATGTAATTAACTATTTCAAAAATGTTATAAAAGTATTTAACATAATAATAAAAAGAGATAAAGAGATAACGAGCATCTAGAACATATATGTATAACGTATAAACTATAGTTTTGTTACTTGTATATTTTGAACTAGGGAAAACAATGAAGATTCTAAATTAATAAGATCCTAATTTTTTTAAATAGGTTATCATTTTCGTAAAATTGTTGTATAAAAAAGACAGAAGTTTAGTTGTTAAACGAATCAGATTTTTACATTTAATATTTACTTACGTACGTCCGCTACAGTTATAGCAACACATGTTGCTATTACCGTAAAAGAAAAGATTGCATTAAACATTATCCAAATTAAAAGAGTTTTTTTAAAGAACTTTCCAACACTTCACTGTCAGAGAACAGCCCTAGCAATTGTACGATACATAGATGTGTATAAAGACTGATGCCTGTGAATTGATCAAGCGTATATATATCCATCTGCTCTCTCATCTCATTTATTTTCATATTTCTGTTATCGCGGTTAGTTTAGTCTTTCTTCCCTCCTGTGATTTATAGAGCCTTCTTTACATTTATATGGAGTTTCGACGAATATCCTAAATAATTTATTCAGATTGTAAACTTGTACAGGAAAAAAAGACAAGTTTTTATTCCAAGATGTATATATATATAATGCGATATATTCTATTTTTATATTTTAGTATAATATTTTATATTTTATATTTTAGTATAATATTCTATTTTAGTAAAAAAATATATTTATTAAGACACATTAATAAAAGTTTGTACATTCAAGTACAAATTAAACTTCTATTAAATTAATATGGTAAATAAATAATTCTACATAGAAAGTGTATAATTAATGAAAGAATAAATTGTTTAATTCTTTTGTTGGAAATAAGAGTATTATATCTGCATGGGTTTGTCCCTTAGTTTAATATCAATTCAGAAATTTAATTCATATTTCTCAGAATTTAAGGCTACAGCGCGGTGATTAAAAATCATGAAAATATCAATGTATATTAAAAAGGACATTTTTTAAATTTTTATTTTCGAACTTATTTGTTTTCACAGAAAGAAATATTAACTTTTTTCCGTTTATCTAACAAACTATCGGTTTTGTTATTCTGTTAATTTATTATTTTGTTTAAAGTAATATTAATAAAAATTAGTAAATTGTTCTAAAACGTTTGTGTATTGTTTTTGAATTATTAAAATTATAGCTTATTTGGCTGCTCGCTTTTTAAATAATAAATTTATATTTTAAAACTTAAATAGAATGTAAAATTTAAATTAGGAAATTATTCATTATAATTATAAATGTAATTATAGATAAAATTATGGAAAAAAGAGATATAAAACACAAAGTGTAATTGTTGCAATATTTACTACTTGATAATCTTATAACTGGTCTACTAACATTTAAAATAATACAGAGACATTTTTAGCCGACCAACTATTACACCAAATATTACGCTGCGGCACTCTAATAAATATTAATGTCTACCATTTCTTAGTTAAAATAAATTTTATATCACTGACTTTCTCAAACCATTATAACAAAATTTGTTCTAGTTATTCTTTGATTTCGCAGCATGTGTAAGAAGTGATCTTGCAATCTCAAAGACTCAGACAATTCATGCTTCTTCGGGAAATAGTATCTCATAATTGGAACGGGTCATGTTGTTGAAAATTGAGATGATTATTCCTGATATCTTCTCTTCTAATACTGGTTCAACTTTAGCAATTATATCTTGTGAATTGCTATCTACGACATTACTAAGAGCTTGATGCAGTTGAACTAATTCTTTTTCGCTTTCATCAAACTTATAATTAAAAGATACGATTTTGGCTTTCGTGTTTATTTTCGAGACATATATCTCCTTTTTGCCGCCCTTGGTTGCCACTTTTAATTCCATGTTTACTTTCATCAGTCCGTTATCTGAATAAAAATAAACATTTTAATAATTTAAAACTAGGTTCAGCCATTAATAAGATACAGAAATGTGAGCCGGGTTTCATAATGAGAAGTCTCGCGGGTTTCATAATGAGAAGTCTCGCGGAATATATTTTTTTTTCCGGCGCATCTCGTTGTCGTTCTACATTCTACGTAATCGACGCGATTGCTGCGCGCGAACTTGACGCGAGACGCTGATAAAATAAAATCGAACTTTTACGATAAAATTACCATTTTCTTTCTACTCATTTAGCATCATATTAATTTGACAGAATTAAAAAAGCTTCTCCATAATTGCAGTACGTATTGATCATATTGATTCAGGGAAACTCCGATTTTATATAGAAAACGAGAAAAAATTACGGAATTACAGATTTTCTTATTTGCTTTTATCCTAATATGGCGTCTCGAGATGCAGCGATCGCTGTCAACTCATCACAAGATGTGCTTCATATAAGAGATATACCATTGATATGAACGTGAAAACGAATTTCCCTGAGGTGCACAACAAGAAAAACATCGATGAACCCTCCAAAGCGAGATTAAAAGTCTGATATAAGAGTACAGTGTGTATGACGATTTGTGCATATGTGTGCGTGCAATGTCAATTGCTATCCTTGTCTATACAAGAACATATATAGATCAATAACATAGAAAATGGTAATTTTGTCGGTAATACATATACGACTCCAGCATCACCTTAAGATGCTAATACAGTCGTTTCATTGGCTAGAGTCTTAAGACTGCCTTTGACCAGACTTAAAACAATCTTAAATATAAAATCTGACTATGAATACCGGTCTTAATGGCTCTTTTACCGGCTAAGTGTTATTGAATTTTTATTTTATTTTAACATAAGATTGATAATAAGATAAAATAAACATAATACAAAATTAATATTTTACATACCTGATGTAATGGTAGCCAATCCCTTATTAGCAAGGGGCACCAGTATATGTATATCAAAGTCATATAAAGTACGCGCGACCAAATGCTTGAATGTGACATCAAAATTGAAGTTGAGCCTGTCAGAATCTGTGTGAATGGAGTTTACGACGAAATCACATACTCCAGTTATTTTTGAATCTCTGAGAGATAATTTAAGATTATCTGTATCATAGATAACTATTTTGTCAATAACTATTGGCTCGATCGAGGGAATGTTAAATTCCGGCATTCCTGTGCAGAGCTTTTCTCTCACACTGTTGAGATTTTCCATGATGCATTGATCATAGTTGGCATCTTTGCGGCCACATACGCGAATGTAGGATGCTGTAAAATTCAAGTCATTTTCTTTAATCTGCAACTTCAAATTAAACTAAAATAAAATTATATTAATAATAATTGTAACTTTAAATTAAACTAAAATAAAATAAATTTCAACATAAAAACGATAAATTATATATTTTAAAATATAAGTACTTTTTATAATGCAATTAGTATAAAACAATATGTACACCACGCCATTTGTTCTTAATATTTATAATAAATTTTTATAATATTTAATATTTGTTCAGCTATAACATCTAAAATAAGTTGTAATCTACACTTAATTGTAATTGTCACACGTTAGTTGTCACACCTGCTGCTTTCTGATAATTTTTATCAGTGTAAGAATAAGATTATAATTTGGCATTTAAAAAATAAAATTTTTAATTTTTTAAATTTAAATACGTATTATTTTTAAGATTACAATTATGTTTAAATATAAATACGCATTATTTTCAAAGTCACAAGCGATTAAATATGTTACACATTAAGAGGAGGGGGATAATAGTGTGCATGTTCAGAGCTATAATCACATGATATATATACGCGATATCAACTGCAGCTCTATTAATTTCTACAACTCAGCTAATGTTTTTGTTTCCAAGTGGTTTTCCATTTTAACTCATTACAATACTGCGTAGGCATCATCAATTATCATAAATTAACGTACAATTTAAAATTTTAATCTGTTATGAATTATACATATCTTAATTATTAATTATTGTAAAATAATTGTAACTCCAAGAAAAATAATAAATATATAATATTATATAATATTATTACTACTACGTTTCAATTACTACTAAAAAATAAGACTAAATCATCATTTTACTTAAAAACGTCACATTCTAAATAAGAGATATGAAACATATAGTATTACCAAGTACCTATTCGTATAAAAAGAATAGTTTGATTCATACTATTACGTTTGCAATTAATCGGACTTGTTTCCCACGAACAGATCTATTCACTTAGTTATTAACCTGTTATTAGCATTGATCGAAACACATCATTATTGCGATAAGACTTGCTTATAAAAAGTATAATTACGAGATTTTTTGACCTTCAAAGAATATTTTACTCATTATAACAAATGAAAAAGTTATGTTAAACGGAGCGTTGGTATCTGGAGCAATTTGATATGATACTATATAAGTCTTAATTAAACTAGGACACACATAAACCAATATTTGTAAGTAACTAGTAAAATAAATAGTAAAATAAATAGTAATAAGTAAGACATGACTGTTTGAATAACAATTAAGTGAATAAAAAACGTACGGTCGAACCAGATCTTTTGTACATAATATTTTGCGTTTAGCAAACTACGCGCCTATTATTGTCGGTCTTAAAATGCAGTCTTAAGCTAAAGCCAGAATGGTACAATCACATATTTAAATTGATAAATCAATTTTATAATATCGATATTATTATGTATCTTTAGAATCACTGCAAAGAATATATGTTGCGAAAACTATCTCAACCACAGAGTTTGAATCTGAAACTCTCTGTTATCCAGAACGGTTTTTATCAATTCAACCACTGAGACATGGTGATATTTATCTTATCGCAACAATCTATAAATATTAAAGAGAACGTTTCTTAAGGTAACGTGTATAAATCAAGTAGATGTAATAAATAAAGTAAGTAGTTGTTAATAAAATTACTTCTATTAAAACAGATTACTTAGCACATCGAATTTCTAAAATACATTTCGTTTTCTTAAAATTGTGTAAATACAAAATGCATCTTGCAGCAAGCCAAGTTTGTGAATGCAATATAAAGTTGCAGGAATTCTTTTAATAGATCTTTGAATTTAAAAATTTTCAACAAAGCGTTTCCATTAAAGTCATTCATATTTTTTTTACTGATATCTTGATTAAATATGCAAGACTTACAAGTTACAGCTCTTTTTAGTTTGCATTTTTTTAAATATGCGCTTTTAGTACGCGCGCTTTAATCTCTGCTTCATTTGTTTGTTTAACTCTGGGCATAATTATATAGCAATTTAACATTATGCAGCAACATATAACATCATCTGCATTATTATGTCATAAATTATAATTTAGATTAATACCTTGAGCAATCAATTAGCATTAAAATTTTATCCTATATCTGTAATTATAGAGTAACATAAATCATTCCAAAAATAATCTTACATTGATATTTCTTAATTATCCAATTCTTACACTTCGTGCTGGTACAACAAGCTTTTTACAAATAGCGTACTTTGAATCCTACGTATATTATAATGTAAATAAATATGTATAAGACAAATATTGTCATTTACTCACGCAATTCTGCCGCATGCGCAGTCGCAAGCGTAAAAACAAGAAGAGCAGCAAACATTTTTCAAAAGAGATCTTTCTGTGAGATAGAATCTTGTAAAATATCCTTAAGAGAATGATAACCAATGTGTAATGGCAAACTCGAGTTAGTAACGCAAACTGATCGAACTCTATATTGTAAAATCCTTCTATATTTATATTTTATAATCTCCCCTCACTCTTCACTTACATTCTACTGGCACATGCGTAGAATAAAATTGCTGCTACACTGCTACACATTCTGTACTGTATGCTTTTTTGTTCTGCGCATGATCAAAGAGTTGTGAGAATAGAGAGAGGGCAGTGCGAGAGGAAAATTGATTCTACAGAAAAATAGCTAATCTTAATCTACACTAGTTGCTATGCAAGCTAACAAGATCTAAATTTTAAATGTATTCTACTGTTACACAACGCAAGTATTACTTATAAAAAATATAAAACCTTGATATAAGACATTTGATGTCACTAATCATCTACGATTGTTGTATTTTAGAGATTGAAAATAAAACAAAATATTCATGGGAAAAAAAATAGTGTAACTTGTAATACTACACGAAAGTGTAGTTAGATTTTTTATCACATTATTAATTCTAGGGTAACTGGGGGGAGGGGATATGCCACACTTAGCAGAAATTGTTATTGAAATTGATATTTGCTACCGTCGTTTTAATTAAATGCGCGAGAATTAAAATACAATATTTTTTCAATTTATAAATTTTTTTTTAATGGATATGCAAATGCAAATGTATATGCGTATATTATCGTATGTTCACAACGTCAGACATTTCTATTACGTTTCCTACCATATACCTAATCAATCAAAATAATTCACTTAGTCAAGATTATCTACAACAGTAAATTAAAGTAATAATTTAACTCGATAAATAAAATTACATTAATTTGCATTTCTTAATTGTGATTCGAGTCTTTGGCGTCGCGCCGATGACAGACTTTTGACGTACAATAAGAATTCTATGTACATTGTGTAAATAAAAATGTGGTGAATAATTTTATTTACTTACGTCATTTCCGTTGCAGCGTATGATATCACAACTTGTAAGAGTAACATATGCAACAAACATCTTCTGCAAAAGAATTCTTTTTGCAAAATGAAAGAATCTCTTGGCACCTTTTAAAACCACACGAGAACGATCGTAACGAATATACAGTAAACGTCAAATAAAATCAACGTGAATCAATCGATTTTATATATACTGTAAAATCCCTCTATTTTTTAGAACGTTTTTTTATTCGAAAAATAATATACCTATTTAATCTTTTTACAAAACACGTTATTAAATTTACCGGGATACTTGGTTTTTGTAAAGAAGATTTTTGAATCTGTTATTATTATAATTCCTAAATATAATACGGAAAATATGTGAATAAGCTATTTATTGAAAACCAAAAATCGAGCTTATTATTTTTAATTATTCTCTACGAGTAGAAATACAAATATGGACATAAAATAAATATAAGTTGCAATTTTTATTAGGCATGTATTAATAATTTTATAAAGCTGTAACATTACATATTTCAGCTTAAAACTCTTATTCTAATATAAACATAGTGTATTTAAAATGATACAAAAAGTACATATCAGTAATATATATAGAATATATAATTGTTAATCCATACAAATGTGTGCTGTTGCTTTAACGATAAATTAATAATTAATATTTTTTTTTATTATCCAGTTAACATTTTCAAACATGACAAAACTTATGACGAAAATCAAGCAAAACGCAAATTGAATAGATCAAAAAATTCCAGACAATTTATGCTCGTTCAGGAAATAGCTCTTCAAAATTAATACGATCGAATACGCGGTTGAAAATTGAAATTATTCGTTTGGAGAGCTCCTCTTCCAATGCCGGTTTAACAGTTTTAATCATTTCTTCTTGATTGTCGGATATGACATTGCTAAATATTTTATGTAAATTAACTAGTTCCTTTTCTTTCTCATCAAACTTGAAGTTGAATGTTTTGATGTTGAGATTCAAATTTACTTTCGACGTATACCCGCTTGTTTTGCCGTTCTTAATTGTCGATTTGAAATCCACCCCTAGTTTTACACCTAAGTTGTCTGCAATAAATTTCATAATTTCAATATTTAATTTCAAGAAAATTAAAAAATTTTAATGTTGTATCCTAAATTAAGTTTTATTAAATATTCTCATTTTTTTAATATAAAATTTATACTAATTATTTTACTCACCTGAAGTAACGTGCAATATTCCTTTGTGAGCAATCTGCGTGAGCAATATATTTATGTTAAAGTCATACATGGCATCAAGGCGGAGAGCCTTAACATTGACGTTAAAATCATAATGAAGTTTGTCAGGATTTGCGTGAACGGAATTTATGACAAAATCACAAATTCCATATACTTTCACATCACTAAGATGCAACTTAATATTGGCAGTGTCGTAAACAACTATTTTATCAATAATTAATGGCTCGTTCGGTGGAAGATTCAGTTCCGGCATTCCTGTGCAGATTTTATCCTTCAGAAGTTCAGCGCTGTTTCTTATGCATTGATCATAGTTCGGATCTTTACGGCCACACGGGCGAATATAGGAAGCTGTAAAAAGTTTATATTATTTTTCTCAAACCTAAAAACTTTTAGATAAAATCGTCAATACAAGTTTCAATACAGTAACAAGTAAATTATATTTCAGGACATTATGCACGCTTTGCGATTAAGATATAACGATATAAGATATAGTATGGTAAACTTTCCAATGTTCAAAGATATTGTATTATTAACGCAATTGAGTGTATAACATATTTTTAATAAGAATAATATATAGGTACCATTAAGTTATGCAAGATTTATAATAAAATATTTACTCATTGAATTGAATCAACGTTTTATAAAGTTTATTAAAGCTTTTAATGTGACTATAAAAAAAAGAAGAGAGAATAATATAATCTTGAATATAATGTAAATTCGTATAATTTTTAAATTCATAATAATATCAGAATCATAAGCGATTAAAGTTAAACGTTGGCGATGATAGTTTGCCCTCAGACCTGATCATGCATATAGGCGCGTAAATAGAAATCGTTCTATTGATTTCCATAGACTCAGCTAATATTGGTATTTGCTCCTCAACTTGCTTTTTTAATTCGTGACATATAGATGCTTAGGCTATTGCTATTATCATAAATTAAAACGACATTTACAATTCTTAATCTACTGTACATCTTCATACTTTTAAGAGGCATAATAGTTTAAATCTTCGTTCTGTGTGGATTTCACATTCCAAACAGAAATGTGAAATATGCAGTAAACAAAGTATTTGTGCAACAGGAAATAAATTTGATTCTTATTACTGTCGACAAATCAGTCAATATCAAACTTTTTTAGTTTAAATCAGAAAAAAATTTCAAGAGATTTATTTTAATAAATAAAATTATTCACACAATTATTAATCAGTAACTTATCAAGTCATTCAAAAAAACGAAAAATTTCTTATGACGTAACGTAACTTATGTAAATACAAATTTGGTACGTCTGTTTTGTTCTTCGAAGTAAAATTATACAATATTACATCATTTAAAACGAACAAGATTATTGACATATCTGTTAATTTTTTCATTATTTGAACTTTAAAATACATAACTTCTGTGACGTCAGCTACTCACAGTATAACTCAAACATTATGACAAGAGACTAAATTTCCATTGTAAAAAAAAGCAATATTAAAATTATAGTCGACTTTGCATCTTTTTTAGAATATATTAATAATAAGAACAGAGAACTTGAATCTCTCTCTCGCCAGTAAATAATTAACAATTAGCAAAAGGATTGTGTTCGACCCAACTGGCAAATTTTATTGTTCACCAATACACTACGTTTCGACCGCAGATTTCGGTCCTTTTCAAGCGTGTAGAAACTCACAAATATTATTAGTTAGACATAATGCCCAAACTACGCAGACATTCACATGCAGCCCGCGTAATACCACTGTACTTATTATTTTCGAAATTATCATCATGCAACCGGCAATAGTAAATTACAATTAAAGTCTTTGTTATTTATCAAGACGCATTATCTAACTCGAAAAATATTACTATGTTCTAATCACGATACGATTTTTATGCTTCGCGTGACAGTTTTTTACGTTGTGTAATACAATAAAATATATAATACTATAAAATACTTACGTAGTGTTGCAGTAACATGCGCAGTCACAAGCGCAAAAACGAAAAGTGTAACAAACATTTTTCACTGAGGTATGTAGCTCTAAAACCATAAAAATGATCTTAACGAACGTATCTGCGAATTCTCATGCGACTATAATGAAAGTTTCATATACACTGAAACTCTTATATTTTAAAACTTTGTCTCAACCTTCACTCTTATTCTAATATGCATATGCGTGTGAATGAAAATGTCATCTTGTACTCTTTTTCTAGCTTTCGTATGGTCACATGATCATGTAGCATTTATGGTGGGAGAGCTTATACTAGAAAACAAACTATTTTTTATTTTACAAAACAAGTTCATAAATAGAATTCACAGAATAAAGATTACTGGACAGACCGGTTTTTTAAAAATACGTAATACGCGTGGTTTTAATGTTTGCATCAAATGTGACCTTTTATTCTCTGGTCATAACTCATATGTTTTAAATTCTCGATCAAAATTCCAAAATCTGAAGAAATATCCGTAATCACAGTTGAGTCAGAAGTTAGGTAAATTTTACGAGCGATAAATGAAGAATAAAAATTAAAGTTTTAATTGAGGAAAGTTTGATTTTAAATATTTTATATTATATTAAATAATATATTTACATTTTGTATTGTATATTGTAAATGTATTAATTTTTTTTATATATGTATAAAGATATGAAATAATTTTAAATCTCTTTTCGTAGCAAATACAATAATAGAAATTGTAAATTTATGGTAACTTAAGTAAGAGATTTATTAATTTTAAGTATTAGAGTTATAAATACAAATAATATAACAAAATATAATATCTCAATTTTATTAGACATTTCTTGATAATTTAATAATTGTTATACATATATCAGATATTACAGTTTAATATTCTTATTCCAATAAGCGTAGTGTTCAAAGTGATACACAGACAAATAATATTTTTATTTGACTAACTTATTTCTATAAGCTGTGCTATTGTGCTAGCAATCTATCGATAACGATTAAACGTTTGCTATTATTATACAACTAAAATAAAACATATTAATTTTTCGCCAATTTTTTAAATATTGTTATTTTATTAATAATTTAAATATATTTCAATTATTCTTTAGTTAGATCGGATGCATATTGCATTTTGCGATGATAAATCTCAAAGTTCTAGGCAATTTATGGCGTTTCGGCGGGAAGCAATTGATCATATCTGTCGTAGAGTATATTGTTAATAACTGACATGCCCAGTTTGGAGACTACCTCTTCTAACTTTGGCTTAACTTTGATGATAATATCCTTTTCGCTTTCACTTATGGTATTTCTCATAACTTCATGTAGTTGAACTAAGTCCTTCTCACTATCATCGAACTCATAATTGAACGTTTTTAAATCGATATTCGTGGTCATTTTCGCTACATATATTTGTGTTTTACCACCTTTGGTTACAGTTTTCAACTCTATGGTTAGTTCCCCTTCTACGTCATCTGCGGAAGAAAACATAGTTTGATTTCAATGAAATAAGAACGATTTTTTTATATTTAGGTAAATAGTTCTAAACTTTCGTCTTATTTTAATGTAAGATCGACTGTATCATACATACCTGCAGAAACGTAAACTATTCCCTTATTAGCAAGTGATACCAATACACGTATGTCAAAGTCATACGTGGAGTTCATGGTAATGTGTTTGAGTATGACATTAAACTTGTAATACGTTGCAGGAATTATGTGAGAAGATGTTACGTCGAAATCACATATTCCACGTACTTTTGAATCTTTCAGATTTAATTTAAGTTTGTCTGTATCATAGATAACTATTTCCTCGATAATCACTGGCTCGATCGGAAGAACGTTAAATTCTGGGATTCCTGTCAGACAGAGTTTACCTAGCACTCTGTTGATGTTATCTACGAAGCATTCAGTGTAGTTGGGATCTTTGACACCGCACACGTGAATGTAGGAGGCTATAAAAAGTTCAAATAATTTTTTAGCTTGCAATTTTGTATTAAATTAAAAATAAGCTGAAATACAACGATTATTTCAAAATAGAGAGTATTTTTTTGTAATGCAATTGAAATGTAACAAATGCACAAACGCAACTTATTTCTAATATTTGTAATAACCTATTTTAATATTTAAAAAAGTTATTATTAAGATATATGTATGCCGCTTTATATATTTTTAATAGAATAACTGTTAGAACTTTGCCATTGAGTTATATGAAACTTATAATAGATAAAGCTAAGTAAAATCGTTAAATTAAACAGATGTTTTAAATATTTCATTAAAATATTTAATATAATAATAAAAAGAAAGAAAACAAAAGCAGAAAATAAACTTTCTTGATATTTAAATTCCTTCCTATTAATAGTATAAGGAATATTTAATATTCTTTCATACTATTAATAGCAATATTGAAATATTTCAGATAGATTTAAATAATACATTATTGCGTATATGAGTTATTGAATTATTTCAAAGATTTACTACATAATAATTATGTTTTAATCATCAATAAGATAATTAAACAAAGTTGCATTCTGCACAATTTTCTTTTAATTTTACGTTATTTATTGTGAAACAAGTTATTCTGTTAATTGTAAGCCTATATCCTGCATATAATGTCAAAATTCTAATTGATAAAGTTAAACGTTGATAAACACAGTTTAAACTCCCAGTGCCGTACTTATACATATGTTTACACATGTACAAATACTAATTGTTCTATTCATTCTCACAGTTCAGTTAATATTGACTTCTATTGTCCAACTGGTTTTGATTTAACATTATTTGTAAATACTATATAGAACACCATAGCAATACACCATTACAAATTAAAATAGGATTAAAATTTTTATTCTGTTGTTATACATTTTGATCATATATATAATAGCTTATAGAACTTTGAAACTTTTTTCGTACTCTTGAGAAGTCTAGACAAGAGATGATGTATAATAATGGAATAGTTATCAAGAAAAAGATAAATAATCTAGCTTATATTCTTGTTAATAACGTGTGTTGCAATTAATTAACATTAAACTCGTTCTTAACAAAGAGAATTATTTAATTATTTGTTAATCCTTAACATTTGTCAAATTGTTAAGATAATTATAAGAGCTAGCTGCTTATATGCTAGCAATTTCAAAACAAGTGTATTTCTTTCACCTTTGATGGAAATTTAATGTACGTACATTGTGACAGAGATAAATGTGGCTAATATTTGTTTACTCACGTATTTCATCTGCAGCATATGCTGTCACGAACACAAAGGCAAAGATTGCAGCAAACATTTTTTAAATGAAAAGTTTTCTACGAAGTAGTACCTATACACGAAAGCACACCGAACCGATCTTAACGATGGTACGACGAAGTCGAATCGAGAATAACGAGCTTCTGTATCCAGAATCCTTATTTTTAAAACATTCCCACAATACTCACTCCAATTTTAATAGCACATGCGTAGAAGGAAAATAACGTTCTACACTATGTTTCAATGGAATTTTTTTAATCTGCGCATGATCAGTTGATCAAACAACTTAAAGTGGGAGATAAGCGCAGAAAAAGAATTAATTTATATTTTTCCAGAGGAGAGAGGGAAATTAAGTAGAGGAGTTCAGAAAATTTATCCGTTTCTTTAATACATGTATATATATTCTACTACATATCAATTGATTTAATAATTAGTTTTTTTTTACTTTTGTAATTATATGATTTGTTCTAAATACTCGATCGTATTCAAAGGCTGTTTAAAGACTACATATATTAAGACCAAAAATGAATTTTATAAACAATAAATAAAAACTAAAAATAAAGTTCTGTTTCACAAAATAAAAAGCAAATTCCATTCAAAAATTTATTTCAATAACAATATATAAATTATATAATTATATTAAATTTTGCGAGTGCACACGCGTTGTTTTGTAAAAAAAATATGTTGCATCAAAAGTATTTCAATGTTAGTGTCAAAAATAAAATTACAAGAATAAGATTAACAACAATAGAATCTTATATATCTTATATCTTTCTTAAAAAGAAATAATTTTAATAATTTTAAAATAAATTTAGTTTTAATTCAAATTTTCTTTTCAATTTGATGTTACTTACAGATGATAAAATAAATATCAATATTATTTAACTTTAATCTCATGAGATCATTGAGATCACGTTGAATAACATTGTTTTTCCTCTTTTTTATTAAGATTTTGAAATTATACTTGCAAGGCAGTACTTATGTAAGAGAAGTATAATCACTAACTTAATTTTCTCTGTATCTTCCTGTATGTATAATCATGTGCATTAGTCTATCTCTTCGTCGAATGATATTGTAGCAAACGAGGTTTTTTTTAAGAATACCTAGGAAATAAATTTTTATATTTTTTTCTCGGATATTTCGCCTGTATGTTCTTAAAATTCATGATTTTTACAGTTCACTTTTCCTTTTTACTCATTAATTTTAATATCGAAAATCTTTAACTAATTAGTCATTTATTCTAAAATTATTAATTATATTGATGTTTGAACCAGAGTAGATAAATTAGACAAATTATATAAACAATATATAAGAAATAGAATAAATATGTAATAAAGAGAATAAATTTTTCTTCTATAAATGAAAAAATAAATCTTATTTGGACAATAATTTATTTTATGGGTTTCCGATATTAAGAATTAACGATATTACAAATAAATGTCGTATCAAATCAACGTTCTATTCAAAAACCAAATTTTCAAAAAGTATTGAATTTTATATTATTACCATCAAACGTGTAACAAAAGAGATACTAATATTACCAGATCAAATTCTTGAGCATGATATCAGTGAGTTGTAACGAATGGTTGCTCTATTTTTTTATTAAAATTTAGAAGAGGATTATGCAATGAAGATGTACTTATATAAGAGGATTGTGATTGTGTTGATAAAATTTAATTAACTTAATGAACTAGATTTTCCATATATAAATACATGATATAGTCTTCGAGTGATATTAAAGTAAATAAAGTTTTTTTAATCAACGTTATTTTGCTAGCATAATTTTTGTGGTGCTGAGATACCATTCACAAGCCATCAGTGTCAAAGTGTATTAAACAATTTATATTTCAAATATTATAAACGTATAAAATAAATTCCAAATGCACTGTCACTAATTGTTGCGTGAGTCAAGTTTCATATGTGTATATGATTTCTAATTCTTATGTGTTAATGACGATTATATATTTTTATATATATGCAAAGTTCTGCGAAATAATTAATATAAACAATTGCTTTCTTGTCTTCCATAATTATTTGTCATACAATTTTGTCGCTATTATAACATGTGTATTTAATGTTATTGATACAGGTATTAGTAAAAACTGATACCGCATGAAATGTATGTTACAAAAATCAACATATTATATTTGTAGAATGAAACAGAAGCCGATTTCAAAAGCCGATCTTAACTCGAAGATCTTATATTGTAGGATTGGAAGGGGAAATTATATATATTATAAGTTCTCCCCTCGTATATTCAATCAAACGTTTACTTAAAATGCAAATAATTGTCCCCAATTAAATCAATGAAATACATTCATAATCAATTAACAAAACATTTTTTTTCTACTAGAGTAGAAATATTCAGACTCTCATTTCTTTTGCAAATTTGACATTAATATAAAACTAATATAAAATGCTATAAAATGCCCTACTCTACCCATTAGCACGTCCAATAATTATTCACTCTAAATCTCTGCAAATTTTTTTTTTAATAATAAACTTAAAAATTTTGATAATGTCTTAAATTTGCAAAAGCTTCTTGCAAGAACGAGATTTTTTAGCCGCCCGATAGATGAGCTAAAAATCGTAAAAAAAAGTCGCATATAACAAATTAAGACACAAAAACGAAGGAAAGAGCGACACCACGCGGACGAAGAATGGACCAGGTATTCAACTCACTGCAGCGAGAACTGTTGCATCTCATCATACATATAATGACTGTACGTGCGAGTATAATGCATTGATGAATCGAACTTTCCACTGACTGCCATCGTAACATCGACAGATAGTATAGTAGCGAACGTGGCACCATGACAAAACTGCATTATGCTTGAGGCGAAATGCATCATCGCGCCTCTTACTTGCGCGATGAATGAATTTACGTAACATGCGGCGCTGACTTGAGGCACGCGATTTTGCTCTCACGCGTAATCGTACAATTTCATTCGCGAAACATACAAATTAATTTCTTGAACAGAAAGTATCTATTAAGAGTAACAAGAAAAAAATATAATTAAATCTTGAAACCGTTAAGAACATTAACGAGCTTTTTCACAGTTACTTAGAATTATTATTTAAAAAAAATTGCACAATAATACACGAAATTAATTATAATTATTTATTTTAAGTGCTGCATAAACCATAACTTAAAAATAATACGAAAATTGGACTTTTGGAAAATAAAAGTATCTTGCTATGCCAAGTGATTTTCCTGGTGAGATATTTGACATTTTTTTCTGAATAAATCACTATAAAAATATCAAAAGATTTTTTCCCGATATTTTCGTTGAAATAAATCGACTAATTAAAACAGAAACTCAGTAAGGTAATTTATCAGATAGTGACACAATCAAAAATCTTGATGACGCACATACTTGTTGCATTAATATAAGCCTCAGCAGTGATTTACAATAATCCGCACATTAGTATTCTGAAAGATATTCTACAGCAGATTGAATTTCCAAGTTAACAGCTTGAAAGATTTATTCTTCAAAAGCATTCAACAAGTTTTTAAGGTATATAAAGTTACCTAAGCCAAATTATTAGAACACAAAAAACTTTATATAGGATCAATTTGCTAATTATTTGCTATTTTTTTGCTTTTATGTATTTTATTTTTAAGTGGTATTACATTGTTTTATTTGCTAGCAATTAAATTAATAAAAATACGTTAAACTGTGAATTATATTTTGTCTGTAGATTAGATTATAAGTGTATAGAAATCCATTTTTTTTATTTTAGCGCTAAAGCAATATTCCTTAATATGAGTATATTAAACCACTATTGTCATTATTGAAATCAATCGATTTGTAAATAATAGATCTAGTGAAAAATTTACTTTGCTTTAGAGAGATTGATCATCACTGGAATTCAATTGTTCATATCGTAAAATTGTCAATAGTCATGCTTCGCTCTTTATTTTCTGGATGACAAAATTAATAATTAAATTTTTTTACGCTTTTTCTAGAGAATTTTAAGACATATTAGGAAAATTGATTTACAGAACAAGAAATAAAAAGTCATCTCACAAACATGTTTAAATGCAGATGCCGAACAGAGAAAGTTTGGAGTCGAAAAATACCACAGAAGTGACAAACTGGAGTTCTGATCTCTGGTGTGTCCACGTGCACACACCAGAAATTATGCAGATTTTGTGGTCACATGATATATATTCTAGATAACACAAAAAAAGTCTGCTAAAATGTACAAATGCATATTAATTAAAAAACTTATAAAATTATTAAAAAAAAAATAAAAGAGCATTTTTATTTTAAAGTTTTATTTTTAGTTTATTTTACTTCTTTTTTAATTATTGAACCATCTTCCTCGAACCATCTTTATTTTATTTCTACTTTTATTTTTTTCAAAAATAGTTTCAGAGATATTTAGAGAGATATAGCTAAATTAAATATTCATTTACGAAAGTTCTCTGATTATCAAATGCACTTCTAGTTTAATAAATCAAAATATCATAAAACAGAAAAGGAGATAAGTATAATATAAAATTGTTTTTGCTAATGGATTTTAATTTTCTGTTAAATAATTTTCTATTAAATAACGGAAGTTTTTATATATATAAATAATATATCTATAAGACGTATATATATTATTATACGAATTTCCGTGCAAAAGTATCAATTACCTTTAGTGCTATATAGGAAATCGGCTAAAAAGGGAGGGAAATGGTGACCTGGTGTCCAAGATTGCCACATTTATCACCGTCCTAGATGCAGGTTGCAATACGCGTAACTCGCATAAACTCACAGGAAGCGTGGACTTGGGTTTTGTTACGGATCGCGGCTTTTCGGGCGTCGCATTTTGCGACTTTCGCTAATTTTAATAGGCGCTGCGAGATTGCACGAACCGGTGTCCACCAGTTTTTCACGTTTGTATATCAATCTAACTGTATATCAGTACAATATTGTTGTATCATATTATTAAATTAATTATTAAATCACGAAGACGTATCTGTTACAGAAAAATTTTAATTCTCAAATATACAATTAATTTGTTTAAATATTCTATATAAATTGCTTTTAATAATATAAAATATTATATTTTTTGTCATAACTGTTTTATTGTATTAAAATTAATTTAGTTTGTTTTAGCAAGTTTTCGGTTATTTAATAACAATTTTAATTTAATACCAGTATCAACTTTGTAATTTTCATATCCATGGGATCTATATTTCCAATGCTAATATCAGACTTGTATTTTCAATGTCAATATGCTAATTTCATCCAATCTTAAATATTTTTCCCTGACCAATAACAAGTCTTGCTATGCTTTTTGTTTTTAGTGATAATTCTTGGTAAAAATCAAGTATGAATTAATTATTAAATTATGTTAAAAATACTATTAATCGTTATATCTATTGTTTGAAGCTTAATAAATTTACAATGTTATTCTTTTTTTTACATTCCATGATACTTCACCCTTAGTCACGTATCATTAGTAATGATGGAAAAAATTTGTTGTGCAATTAATTTCTCTAACTTCTCGGCGCAAACGTTACCTTTGGATCGCAACTGCAGCGAGAAATTACGAAACGTCAACGCCGGCTCGAAGTACCGGCTACTGAACGCGCTTTGAAATAGCGGGCGAATTGCGCCTGTCTTGCCGGTTTCCTTCGCTTTCCAGCCCGTCCGTGAGCTGAAAGGCCGAGATGAAAATAACAGGGATATTTGGCCAAGTACGTAGTACAGGTCCACGCCGCGAATCCATTCGAACGAAAAGCCAAGACGAAAGAGAAGTAGGAGGGAGGACGAGCGAAAACGATCTGGTGTGAAAAGGCCCGATATCGGTGGTGCCATGCTTTCCCGCGAAACAAGAATCAACGAACGTGTCCAATCGTCACTAATGCTTATTCGAGGCTGGACCAATGGTCGGCAAGTAGCACGAGGCTATCAACCGACCGAATGTAACAGCACCGCCAACCAAGTTACTTGCTAAAAGTCTTCGAGTCGCGGCTATCACATCCTTGATCATTGTCAACCGATACCTCCTGCAGTCGTCAATAAACCTCGGTACGTCCTCCTCGACTGGGCTGGCCAACATGTACACTTTCATCACACGTATCTGGTAAATTAATTGTGATTTATTATATTATTATATATACACATTAGCTCTAAGGATGTCCTTCATCTAAATCGATAGATAAAAAAATAAACAATTCTAACGATTTCTCTTCTTTTTAACGGAAAGGTCATTATAGCTAAAGATTTTGTATGATTGCTGTGATAATTGCACTTCGTGCAGTCATAGCAAAACAATTAAATATTTTTTAATACGATAATAATAAGCAATTTTATATTTATATTTAAGTAGCTATTCCAGTCATATATAAATACACCTTTCTTCGTAAGAAAAATGCATGTTTTTTTTATTTTCTTGCTTCTTTTTTCAGTTCTGATTTTCTTAATTACAAAATCTTCACACCGCTAATCATAATCATCATAATATTTTAGAAAAGTACTTTAAAACCTATTTTTAAATTTTAACTTAAAGAAAGATTTAAAAAAAAACCACAAAAATTTAAAAAATTTTGAAATTTTGCATAAGAAAATTCCCGCATCATTGATATTTGATTGCTGCCTTTCAATCAACTTGATTGAAGCAGTTTTTATCGTTCGTAAAAGTCACAAAATTACCAGTGAAATCGCACAGTAATCAGTGAATGTTATGAAATGTAAAAGAGCCCAAGTTTTTCATATGCAAACTATCAATATTACTGTGTTTTTTATATTCAGGATTACCTTATGACAGCTGAAATATCAACAAAATTACATTTTATATATGTATTTTATTTATATGTCAACTAATACCATTTCGATAATAATTGTTCTTTAATTTCTAATATTAATTAGGAATATGTGGCTATCGGAAGATATTAAGTGTCGAGTAGTGTCGAAAATTTTCTTCGAGATCGGATTAAAAAATGTAACATAAATATATCATAATTTTTGGTAATAAATAAATGCTAGTGATTGTCGATGCTTATCGACTCAAATTAGAATAAATCGGAATAAATACAGAAATCATTTGCCACTAGAGATATGCAGGTAAAGAGAAATTACGGCTGCCTAAACATCATATTTGTGCACAAAAAATTTTGACAGAATTTTGACTTGTTTAAAGTCAATTCGCGACTTAAAGTAAATCTCGAATATTTCTAACAATAATAAAATTAGATTTAAAAAATTCAAAAATATTTTAATCAAACTGTGATTGATAGTTTAGTGCTATTTCGCGTTGCTTCAATTAAACTTACTTTTCCTAAATAATGATTTAAATAGTATTTTTAAACATGTTATAATTTTTGAAAAATTTAATTAACATTTCTATTTTTAATGTATGTCTTACAGTTACAAAACTAAATTATTTACGCAGTGTATTTCTTAATACGTAATTTTTTATCAATACATATTTTTTACAATTTCTAATCAGCATAAAGATAATAAAACAGCATTTTAAACAAATATTTGTTCGAATAATAAATTATTTCTATTTTTTCTCTCGATATAATGTTTTGTTTATTTCAATAACTTTTGATGAAGATTGATAATTCTTATCAAAGTCCAAGAATAAATATCTTTTTATAATATAGAATGCAATACAAAAAATACTATATATAAAAGTATACATATATATTATGTATAAATATAAAAATATAAATAAAGTTATGAAAAAAGTTAGAATAGCTAAATAATCAAAAATAACCAAATTTCGAGAAAATAAGGATGTTGAAGATAAATTTAATAACTTCAATAAAAATATACAATCATTTTAACGTTTCGAGCCTTACTTGGCCTTCTTCAGAACCATAATTCGAATATCTTTCCTTATAGGTTTCATGTTTTTGTAAATTGATACGAGATATTTTTAATGTGTTATTTATGGTGCTGAAGAAGGCCAAGTAAGGCTCGAAACGTTAACATGATTGTATATTTTTACTGAAGTTATTAAATTTATTTTCAACATCCTTATTTGCTTGAAATTTGGCCGTTTTTTATTATTTAGCGGTTTTGCTTAGTCGAGCGAAATCATATTGTTTAAAGTTAGAATAGTTGAATAAAAATGCAACACTTAAGATTGATATTGTGCTCACTTTTAAAAGCAATTCTAAATAAACTGATTATCATACAATAACTCTAACAAAATTTGCTATAATAATATAAAATATATTGTACCAGTGAACTTCTCTTTATTACGTTGTCATCCTTAATATTGATGGACATCCTTAATAAACAAAACATTTAGTAATTCTTTCGCAACACAGTGATTTCTTTATAGTTTAATTAAATATTCGTTGAATACCATTAATGCGATTTTAATATGCATAGTGTCACCGCAAATGATTGATGTATATATCATTTATCAATTATATTTTTTTCGCTGAGTAAACACAAAACTTCATTTATACGCTATTTTAAATAACAAGCGGTGTTATCAAATAAATACCTATGTATTTTTAGCATGACTATTTTATATGTACATAATTTAACTGTAATTTTTTATAAAAAATCATACTTCTAACTAAAATCTTGCGCTTTCAATCAATTGCGTTGACTGTATAAATTAAACGCAATATGCTTCTTACTTCATTTTTGTAATCATGTTTTTGCTGCAACCATGTAATTAGCCTACATTTTTTATATACGTATGCGAGGTAATTGGTACATGTCAAACGTAAAACAGAATTTTACTCGAATATATCATGCCAATCTTACAGTTTACCGAAAGATACGGAAATGTTTTAAACCATAGCAGAAGCAGCATAAAAAAGTAAAATTTATTTAAAATACTTTACTAATTATATTCTTTAAATAAAATCATTTTTCTAAATATTAAGATGTAAGAAAAAAGAAATTTTTTAAGCACAATAACATTATCCAATGGAAAGAATACTAATTACAGAAAAATAATCATACACATAATTTTCGATTCAACTTATATCAATCAAATAGTCATCGTCATTGTCTTCATTTTTTTTTTTTTTTTAATATGCTACTCATTTTCTCATTTCTTTGTGCATATTCACATATTATTGTGTGACTCGCCTCTCTTTTTATTTTTCTTTATAAGTTAAAATTTAATTTTTATTTATTTTTGCCTTTTCCCTGAATCTTTTTATTCCATTATTCCGATTTTCTTTTTTCCTCTTTCTCTCTTTCTTTACTATTGTTTAAAAAAAAGAAAATTTTCGAGATATGCTTTCAAATCATTTCTATCATTCGTGAAATAATTTTACAACTTTTTACATTTTGATTTAAATATATCCTTCTTAAACTCCCTACCTAAATGTTTTTTCGATGAAACGGAAAGAGTATATAGCTATAACACTTAACCTACAGAATTTGCATATTCTGACCTTAGCCTTCTACAAATTTAAATATGTATATTTAATACGCGTTTTATATCTATAAACATTTTTCATCACTTTCTTAGGAAGAACGTGTGCGTCTTAAACGGCATAAGTTTATTAATTAATAATACGAGATTTTTACCAATCGGACTCTAATCTTTACTCTACAGTATACAGTGTACAAGTATTAAGTGTCTTCAATGACATAAATAACAACGGTAACAATATTCTAACCTTTTTTTACTCACACAAGGTCATTTTTTAGGCAATGATTTATCTTTGTTTCTTCTTAAGAATCTTCAAACCTCTTCACATTGTACGAAGCAAAGATCTACTGTTTATTGCGTTCTGTAAAAAACTCGTTAAATTCTTGATCTTTCCGTGATCTTCATCTTTACATAAATTATGCTTATGTAGTTTGCCCCATATTGTTTACTCACAAGACATAAGTACTAATGGTATTATAAGTTAAAAATAAAACGATAATATTTTATAAGCTTATTTAATTCTTAAAATTAATTAAAAGTAAATATAATTTACGTAATTTATCATACGTTTAACAATTTATTTTAAACGTTCTTTTGCAATTTAAGAATAAACGTATCGAATATTACCTTCATAAATATATTTCAAAAATTATAGAGAAAAAAAATATATATATATAATTAATCTATTATAATATAATATGTTAATAATACAACATGTTTTTAAATAAAATTTTTCTCCTTTCTTATTTTTGAGAAATATTTATCAAGCATTTTAAAAGACTATAATTTCTTAATTTTCTTTTGTTTAAGCCCATTTTAAATGCTTGTTTCAAATGTCTATTTTAAATTGCTGTCCACTCACTTTTAATGTAAACATTCCAATTGATCGTCCAATTTTCTTAATGACAGAATCGTTATCTAAAAATCCTAATACTAAAATTATTTTTTAAATAAAAAACATTAAAAATTAGTCGATTAGGTAGTCAACTATCTCAGGGAGAGCAGCCAAACAGTTCTCAATTACATTAATAATCCGCTTTTAAATATTGACGTAATTCTGCATACATTAATACCGGAAACCACTTCCCAACTGTTTCATTTATCTTAAGGTAATTCATTTGCTATGTTCGCTAATAATATTAGCAGAAACGTAAATATTTTTTACGTAATACCAGTAGCGTAAGTATTATGTAATATTGACACTAAAACGTGATTTGCATTAAGTTCTCGAAGTTATAAAATGTCAAATGTGTTAAATTAATATCCTTTATAAAATTAAAAGATTTTCATCAATATCAAGTAACATATTAACATTTGAAGTTAGCTTCCTTGCTACATGATATACTTGAACTTTGAACAATCTGATTGATCAATTGCCATTATTACAGTTTCGATATTTTGACAGTGTCGTCTTTAAACAGAAATCTATCATTAGATGGTGCCGATACGTCTATAGAATACAGTTTATATTAAAAAGCCCAGCTATAAATAGCAATCCGTCCATATTTAGAAGCGCTAATGAGAATTCGCTTCAGGAATTTTATTAACTTATTAATATTAATAACTGAAACTATTGTGTCGATTAACGATCTTTTATTTCAGTGTGGCCTACGCACTCCTTGCTGTGGCCTTCGCCGAGATACGTGAGTAATATTACAGATATCAAAGTATATATGTGTACCTATATGTGTGTATACGCTGTGCTCGATTGTTTACAGATTATATTCATAGACGAAATAATGTAATACTATTGCATCACAAAATTAAAATAGTTATATTACGAAATCATTAAAGCACATGTATTACGTGAGATACATATTAGATGAAGCTTTTAATTTTCAAAACAATCTTAACGATGCTACATCAGTAGCGGCAACGGCAATAAGTGATATACTACATCCGTAAGAATATTTATAGATTTGAAATACAAACAACTCATTGTAAAATACACACACACACACACACACACACACACACACACACACCTGGGGATAAAAATTAATATCTAAAACAAAAACAGCAATCTTCGAAACGACAAGTGGTCAATTGAAGAAGAGTCCAATGCGATCCACGGTATCAAAAGAGCGTTTAGATGTAACTAAATAATTCTGTGTGTTTGTAAAAAGTTTTGTTACATTCTGATATTCAATTTACGCGAATGTTGTTTTCATTTATCTAATACAAATAAGTCTAGTGAACGTAAATAAATGCCAAGTATAATATTCAATCGATCTTTGACTTACCATTAATATAATTAATTTGAGTTGCAACATAATTAAAAACAAGATTAAGAATATCAGGATTGTACGTATAATCGTACACATAATCATAGCAAGAAATTAAAAAATGCAAGAGTAAAAAGCAAAGGATTTCAGAAAATTATTTTAAATTTAATTCCAAATAAAAAAGTTGTAACCCAAATGTTATATGTTTCAGTATTAATATCTAATAAATGTATTTTTATATTATTTTTCGTATCTTTGCATTTTCGGTATATTATAATTGACTATTATAATAGAGTGCGTAAAATTAAATCTTTATTTTATGATTTTATGTTTGTAAGTGTACGTAAAAATAATTTATCTAACATAAAAAGGAAAACTTGATTGATAGTGACTAAGCTTCGATTTACATAACAAGTTTCAAACTCAAACTCATTGAACATAATAAAGCATCAATATTTTAAAACCGTCTCAATCTTCCACGTGTCAAAGCAACTGCCTGTCATTATTAGACTTGAAAAGAAAAAGAACATATGAATTGATAATTTATAGATAAAAAAAAATAGGGATTGAATAAATGCTGATCTCGCAATCATGATAACACTTCGTTCAGAACTAGATCAGGATCACAATCACTTATCATTAAAATCCCACGTATATAAACCGCATAATAAAACCATATAAGTTTTCATATAAATATGTATTACGTTTTTCACAGCATCATACATGAAAATATGCAGTCGAAAGGATCCAAATATAAATAACTGTGTATTAAATTCAATTGAACAATTGCGGGGCAAATTGAAAGTTGGAATTCCGGAATTAGAAGTTCCAGCAATAGAGCCGCTTGTACTGAAGCACGTGCGGCTATTGAGAGGTCCTCAAGCTGCGAGGCTTGACGTCAACCTCACAAATATACAGGTGACTATATCAAAGTTCTTGAAACTATATCAAAGTTTATGCTACTTACAGCATAATTTAGATTAGAATGTGTGCATGTGTTTATATGTCAAGATTTCGTTTAAAAAACTGTAAATAACTGTTGTGTATATATATGTATATGTGTGTAAATAATTATAAATAATATTCTATTCATCAAACATAAATACATGTACCTATATTATTTCTCATGTATAATATTTCTCAATAAAAAATTATATTTTATATAGGTATTTGGACCATCTACGTTTAAAATCCGGGATTTGAAAATCGACCCGGAGAATGTGCTCATTACTTTCAAAGTTGGTTTCGACAAGCTTAACTTCCGTGGAAAATATAAAATAAACGCACAGATTCTTTTACTCCATCTGGTTGGAGAGGGAGGCCTCACTGGAACTTTCTGTAGGTTCTATATTTATATTTGTAAATGTTTCATTGTTTTTCATTAAAATATAATGATAAGGAAATTATTGTCACACACACACACACACACACACACACACACACACACACACAGAAAGAGAGAGAGAGAGAGAGAGAGAGAAAGAGAGAGAGAGAGATAATAAGAAAAATTTATATTTGTCTCTGTTAGACTTACTATATATTTTTACAGTTAATTACGACAGCGACTGCTTGCTGAAGTCTCATAAAATCGTAAAAAATAACAACACCCATGTAAACTTTGAAAGGATGAAATTTAAAATCAAGATAGAGAAAGCTAGAATCAATCTTGATAATCTATTCGGTGGCGATCCTATTCTCGGTATGTTATTATTTCATGTAATAAGTTTTTGTATCGAGAAAGTGGCGAATACAAGTGTCATTACATTTACATTGTGATTGATCTTCCTTCTTTTAAATCAGGACCAGCGAGCAATGAGGTTTTGAACGCAAACAACGATTTATTGTTAGATGAAATAAAACCAGCACTGGAAGACTCCTTGTCAGATCTCTTCACCAACATCGCTAACAAGATCACCGGAATATTCACATACGACGAATTGTTTCCGAATAATTAATTTTTATTTTAAGAATCTGTTCTTTATAGATCAATTAGATTCAATAATAATTTTGATGGGATTGTAATATTTCTGTAATATTCCTGTATTGGTCTCTTCTGTATATCTCATAGCACTTATGACTATTATAATACACAAACACAGATAACATGTAACTGTATTGGTATTAATACGTTGACTGCCGTGTTGAAATTACAACAAAGTAACTTTTTGTGATTTATTTTTCTTTTAGAGAAAATGTGCATTAATATCTTCTCAATAAATGGTGTTATTATTGTGCTTTAATCCGAAATGCATTTAGCAATCAGCGTGTTAAGAGTACTGTAATAATGCCATATAATTCACAAAATAATTCTATAGAAAGATATTTTAGATATGTATATAATTTCATTTACTAATTCATTGTCTAAAATAGGCAACTTAAAATAGTAAAACTTGTTAATTAGTTTGCGTTGCGTTATAAACATTGAATGTGATTATGTTACATTTTAGTATTTAGATTATATAGTATAAAGAAAGTGTCAAGACCCCCAAATATTTCGGCAACTTTTTCAAAAGAATGTTTTAAATAGAAATTTTACAGCTTTAGGAGAAAACTATATTACAAATAGCTTTTACAACATACTTACGTTTCTTATAAGATATCAACATCATATTTTTCCATATGCATATATAAAAAATTTTTTACGTGCATTATATTCTTTTGCTAAAATTAATACAAAAATTTTATTTGAAACATTTCTTTTAAAAATTTTTCGTTGGCGATATATTTAATATACTTTCCTTTGACACTTTCTCCACATATGTGACAATTAGTATTTTAAAGTTTAAAAGAGAAAGGTACATTTAAAAAATATTTTTCTTTCATTTTTAGGAAAATATTAAAAAATACTAAAACGTATTGAATAAGAAACAGCACGACAAACTGCACATAAAATGCAATTTTAATGCAAAAGAATCGTATGGATTTGATTGAATAATTACATTTTGTTAAATTTGTACACATATCAAAATTATGTAAATATTTCATAAAAAAGTGCAAGGCAAACAAAATACAGCTTTAGAATAATCATAGCTTCAAGATACTTTAGAATAGTCATAGCGCACATAAGTTTCTCAGAATTGTCTTTATAGACCTGATTCTATATCTTTTGATTGCGATAATCACCTTGTTATTCATTCTAAATGAGCGTGAGCAATGATTTAATAAGACGAATGAATAAGGTATGAATCATGAAAATTAGTATTATATAACAAATTGATTTTTTTTTCAATATTGATAATATCACTAATATCGTATAATTGTAAAACTGTAACTTCTCAAAAAACTTACTTTAACTATATTAAACCAAAAAAAAGAGAGAGAGAGAGAGAGAATCATGAAAATTTGGGGATCATGTTATTCATGTTTAAATTATTGTACGGATAAATGTGTGTTTTTGTAAAAAAATGTTTTATATGTGCGATTTAATTGGACGAAAGATCATCATAAAACATTTTTGCGCTATTAGTATAATCTTTTTATTGATCTTATACAATATATGTATGATATTTATGTGCAGAATAGTTTTAACTATCATCTATTAAAAATAGATATAACGAGCAAATGTATACGTATGTAAATAACAATTTGTCAAATAAAAAACAGAAAACGTCAGCAAATCAGTTTATGTAACATGTATTTTCTTATAATCCTGCTAAACAAAAGAATAAACATTTCAATACTTTTCACGTATAAAGGTGTAAAATGTCTCTTTGAGATTCATGCACAACGTGATTAATTAATAAAATATCTTCTTTGGACATAAAATAACAATTCTCTACCGACTCACCTTCTACCTTACCAACTGGCTACCAACTGGAAAATTATCACAATGCGCGATAAAAAAGTAGATAAAAACTAAATCATCAGATTGACTAATACTCAAAGTAATATTCGTCATTTCTATCCCTTTTTTTATGAAAGACCAAACGATATATCGAATTAAACGTCTACTATTTAAGAACTAGGGCACGAGTTCTTGCTTAGTAAGAACACCGAGTGCTCTAGCGGCTAGAGCTTTGCTCACGGTCGCGGCTGTATCCTCGATAATTGGACTGGCTATATCCAGGACTAGACGGGGATTCGCATTGAAGAACGTTGCGGCGGCATTGGCTAAAATACAGAGATAATATCGAATGTATACTTCTTACGTAATTATTAAATGTTAAAATTCTAGACATGATTTGCATCCGTACCTGCTAAAGTGTGAGCAGGAGGTGACTTCAGTACGATATTTCCATCGCCGACACGGATTTTAGTAACTAACTTGTCGATCTCGATCCTCTGCACGCCGTTTTTATCAGTAATTTCTTTAGCTTGCGCGTTTACTTGGGCATCAGTGTCAGCTGAAATAAAAAAATATAATAATCAGAAAGAAATACAATTTTTAAAAGACTATACACGCTAACATGTTAAGTAACTAATATCCAGCTAGTTTTACACCAGCATCAATTATTGTTTTCATTGTTCAAACTTTATTTAAGATTTACAAAACGTAATAAGCTCTCTTCATACATAATGTACGTTAAAATATTTATATATCATATTTTAATTTCTTGGGAAACTTACTGAAATTTCCTTTAAAGTTACCAAGTCCGCTTAGAGGCAGCAACAATAGCCTACCCTGAACATCGTAATCGCCGCTTACATACATATGAGGCAGTCGAACCTTGATGAAAATCGTTAAGTCATTGGGATTCGCTTTGAGATCCTGCACGCTGTAATTCGTGCCGCCGTAAACACGAATCTGGCTCATGTTGGCCCTGATTTTCAAGGATTCTAAGTTTCTATCTACGGTCAAGGATGGCAAAAATAAAGGATCTAAAGCCGGTAATTTCAATGAGGGCACTCCTTTGGCGAGATACGGCGTGAGCGCTTGTAGCTGCTTTACAACACATTTATTGTATTCCGACAAATTGTTCGTTCGCGGGCATGTCGTTACTCCAGGAGCTGAAAATATTTATTGCATGTTAATACTAATATTAGTATAATAATTTATTTATATTAATTTATCCATATTAATAATTTATTGCATGTATGTAAATTATTAAATCAATAAGAAAACAAAAGACGTATCGAATTTTATATTACAAATTTCAATCTGCAGAATAGCGAAATTTCATAAATAGTAAAAAGATTGTTGGAGCTTTTGATAAGATTAGATCATTGCATATAAAATATAAAAGGGATTAATATACCACATTCATCCGGAACATAAAGCTGAAAAACGTTTCTGATTTATAATTCTTCCCGAATATTTATAAACTTCCTACATGTAATTAAAATGAGGTGCGCAAATGTCTTCTCATTCACTTGAAAAAGATGAAAGACATTATTATCTGTTTCCAATTATATTTTTTTTCTTTTGTCGGAAATTATTAAAAAATCTTTAATATAAAGAATATTGTAAAAACTAATATATTATATGCAACAATTCAGTTCAGCAAAGTTAAACAGGTTACAATTTTTTGCAGGTACATTGTACTTGTTTCCATGCCAAGTGTTGTGAAAGATAGTCATTAGACACCTTTAAATGAGCAAACGCAGACATTACACCCTGTTACGACGTCGGTTGAGCGAACGCGATAATGGCAAGAACTCGACGATGACTAAGAGAGCGGCTTTTTTTCCGGCCAATCGGTCGGCCGGGCCTAAAATCGAAAGTGCACGGTAGAAAGTGAAATTACGAAGCCGGCGGGCAAATGATCGAGTATTTCCCTTTTTACTTTTTTTTATTGACGCTTAATATGTGACAAATTTATGTATGTGTCACGTGAAGCATCAAAAAAAAAAAACGCGCGTGGAGCGAAAGGATCTACCAGCAAATAGATCAATAGTCTATTTTTGAATAATGGGGAAAGATATATGGCGAACAAATATAAAAATTGACTTCTAAAAAAAGACTCCTCCACTTTCTTGTCAACTGTTAAATTGAAATCTACAATTGATTAAAAATAGAGCACACTCAGTGTATGTGTGCGAGACATTTAAATATAAAATTTTCTTATTTTTGAGAAAAAAGGAACGAATATCTCTAATAAATGCAGATTTCTAGTAATTCTTAATTGAACTTAATATACGCATTTTATCGTAAGATATGATTTCTTATCTAATAAAAATCTTTACTCTTATCTGTATATTTGCCAATTTGAAAATTAATTATTGCTGTGTTTGGTTAACTACCAATGTGCATAGTAAATATTAATTCTATTTTTTCTTCTGAAATTACAAATTGCGAATTGGAAGAGTATCAACCGCGAAGCAATTCTGGGTGGATTGTTAGTAGAACGACAAGAACATTCTTGAGAAAGGCTTATTTTGAGAAAAATGTAAATGATAGCAATAAACTCTAGAAAAAGCTTCCTCTATGAGGAAGCAAAAAGTGAAATAACAACTCGCATTTCTCTCGCCAAGAACAAGAATGCGTTCGAGATTATATATATCGTTTTACATGCCACGAGTTCGAGCGGCGACAGGAAAACCATTACACAAGTAAAAGTGCAAAATTAAATTGCAAATTACATTGTCTCGCGTTGCAGTACGTAAGAGTAACGACAGTATCGTTCCACGTAGCAAGCATATCCATCCGATTTTCCTTCGATTTGTACTTCCGGGTTTTCTATTGATATTTCTCAATGACGGCCGGCACACTTTTATGCATCATAAAACTGCTCATGTATTATAGGTGCATTATATGCAGGAATTACGAAAAGAGAAGCGATAATTGCGTATAAAATATGTCAACACTTCACGCGTTTAGAACTTTTCCGATGAGACAAAATTGCGTCAGCTTCTTATCTTCAGTACACGTAGGCACGTGTGTACATTTAAATATTTAATTTTATCTAAATTAGTTCATATAACATCACTACTATGAAATAACTATAAAGAAATCAGAGGGTATTTATCACTTAGCCTCTGTGTGTCACATCTTACCTTCCTGTCGAAACAAGTTTATATGTCAATAAAACAGTGATTTGTAGACTTTGCAGTCTCCGACTTGTAGAGATACATATATAAGATCTAGTTTCAAGCCCCTTTTAAATTGTGTCTATTAAATATAATTGTAGAGAGATCTTGCTTATTCAGTGAATAAACGCTTTCTTGCAACGCGATTTAATCACAGGTTAAAATCTTTTTCTGCGTAGCATGCATAAATTACAAAGTCAGGTTTTGCAAAACGTTTCAAATTACTCTTGAATTAAATGATCGATTTCTTAGAACAGAAGTTAGAAACACGTTTGTCTTTCAAATACGAAATGTCAATGAATGACGAAGCCGTGAGTAATTTTATGTAGAAAAATGAAACAAATATAGTCAATAAATTCTTTGTATAAGTATAAAGCATTCAAAATCAAGGAAGCCTTGATTTTGAAGATTTATCGGATGTACTTCAATTGAAATTAAATTTTGATTTTGCGTATCTTTTCACAGATAAATTCACAGGTAACAGTAGACATGATACACAACAAGTTATGATCTTAATATTCATAAATACCAACACGAACAGAAACGTTTGTCTATGAAAAGAATGAAATTGAAACTTGATTTCACACTTGATGAATTTTTTAATCAAATTTTCGCAAAAAATACGCATGAAAGAGACTTTTTGTTTTTTCTCATTATCAAATAATTTACAACTTGTTTATATTATTTGCATTAATATGCCAATCAATGCAAATAAAATAATCAAGAATATACAGAATATACAGAATTCGGTCTAATTGCCATTTAGCAGCTACATGGCAATTGATCTAATAATGGCTTTTGTTCTTCTAGCTGATAATAGCAATTAAAAAAATATACTGTTTTATCTTACTTTCTTTTTCGTTGCGTAAGCTCTTTCAGTACTTTATTGATCTAATTATATAGACTGTGTCGACAATTATACTGTAATTATATATATACAATAATACAATTTAATTTAATACATATAAAATAATATAATTTAATTTCATTTAATTTGTTTTTTATTTATATATAAGCAACAGTGATCAATAGTTTTGCTATTTCCACTTTATATGCGTCGAGGAATATAATTGTGCTTTTATCAATAGAAACTCACGCAGCTCCGACACGGCGGTCCTGGCCCAAATGGCAAACAGTACGACTCCGATCAGCATCATCTTCTCAATGATCCTGCGTACCTGACCACGGCGTATTTCGGCTATCTTTTTTTTTTACGTCACGAGATTGCGCGTATTCGCAATTAGCGACAGCGGTATCGAAAATGCGTACGATGGCCCCGTCGCGCAGATATATATAAAGTAAGTGTACTTTCTCCGCTGCCACCCCACTCGGGCGACGACGGCGAAGGCGATGGTGAATTTATCACGGTAGAATGCCTCCTCTTAACTCAGTCAGGGCCGTAGCCCGTAGCCAAGCTTGACACGCGTATACACATGACATGCACGGCGTGCACGTGACCGTACACGCGGTTTACCCGCATCCGCCGGAATTACGGGAGTACCCTGAGTATTACAATCTCGCGACATCTCCGCGTAACGATGGGGACGTGAACCTTTTCGCGACGTTCCAAGGATGAGAACGAGACGCGATCGCGCGGCGCGGCGGCTGTTTACGCATCGTGATTCTATGGCGGGATCACTGCAGCTTTCGAAATGCTGCTGCTACAGCAACGTGCATGTCCATTTTTTCTCTCTGCACGGCTAATAGCATCCCAAAAGAAACTATACGCGATGTAACACGGGATAATGTCAGCCTGAGGCCTGAGGCGGCTAAGAGCCATTATATCAGATCAAGAATCACGATCCCCTTGGGCGATCTCCTGTTCTCTATAATGCTGACTTTAAATGAGTTTTCCTTCTTTTAAGGAACTATCAGGGGAACTATCAACGTCTTCTCGATTCAAGCCAATAATAATCATGTCTCTTTATCAAATATTTAAGACATTTATGCAATAATTTTTGCATCTTAATATACAAATTGTCGAGAAAATAATTCAAAACTTAGGTGAATAATTCTCAAACCGATTAACAATGTTTAATCGTTACTTGCTTTTTAAATCTCAAGTCGTTTCTCAAGTCTGTGTACATCTCACGCGTAATTATATGGCGTTATTAGGTCAACACATAAATATTATTTCATCTAATATGTCAATCAGCTAAATTCATTTGTATAATTTATTCTATTCAGTAAATATTGAGCAATTCTGTTAGTCACATAGCAACGTATATATCAATATAATTAACTGATATTTTTCAATTTGGCATAAAATTACGATTAAAGTATAGGAAAATCCTACTCACGTTCCGCATTGTTAGACACGAAAGATCATAACAAGCATTCAATTCCAGTTACGTAATACAGCGCATAATAAGATGAAGTAATATGTAAGTGGTTACATATGTAAGCGTTACATATGTAAGATTATAGAATTACAGCGCATGCAAAAGATAGGTACAAAGTTACATACGGAGATTACGATGCCAAATGCTGAAAATGTCAATAAAGACTTTCAGGCCATAGGCCAGGGCCGCGATCTTATGGGCATGCCCTTTTCTTTAGAGATAGAGAAGTTACTCAATTGCCGAACATAAAATTTCCCCGTTTCTCTCCTACTTGCTCCCGACAGCTATTTATACTCTTAAACGGATTGACTTGTGATTGACTTCAGCACTTCATGATTAATTTCTTATATCCATGTCTCCGAGACATGCAAGTAATCAAGAATTCCGCATGCACGCACGCGATTGTGAATCGTTCTCCTTTCCGCGTTTCTCGCTAACCATTTGCATTTTTTCTGTTCTTAGCAATCGTTGTAATTGCTAAGGCTAACTAAGATCCTTGATGATCATCCTCGTGGCTGCAAATGCTTATTAAGCCAAATTTTCGTTTCCTCTTCATCGATCTCACACAATCATGTAACATTAACGATTCAAAATTAACACTTGTGGGAAACACTTGTGTATAATAAATGAATAAACAAGGAAGTAAAATGAGTGGAAGGAAAAAAGAGAGAAACACCAATGTGATTAAAATGCAAGTGATTAAAATCATTGCAAAGTTGAATCAAGCAAGATTCAAAGAGCAGATACCTAGAGTCTACGCTTTTTTAATAATTTATTATTATTGTGACTGTAATGAATGTGCGATTCTGTATCTGCTCATAGGCAAGAAATTTGTACACGTGAAGCACAAAAATAATTCATTTACATATTTCGGAATACAAAACAACTTTCCGGTCTGCTATTCTGCTGTTACAGTCGAGAATGATGCTATTACTCAAGTTTTCTAAGTGCGATTAATGCGATTATGTAATGAATACTGAATCCCTTTGTAAATCATATGCAATAGCAATAAGAGAGAAAATGTTCATAAAATCTCCTCGCTTTTGCTGTTAAAACTTATTTTATTGACATGTTGTAGTGAGAATTAATTCAATAAAATTAATAAAAGTACGATTTCTCTAAATTAATATATCTTGTATACACAATAGGTAAATAGATATAAATAAATAAATAAATAAATAAAAGGAAATAAATCATGCAAATAACACATGCGTATATAATAAGCGCAATTAGGCGCTAATAGCAATTTAGAAGTATATAAATTTATAATAGATTTAAAAAATTAATAAACGCCTTAAAATAATGATGAATAAAGTATGAAAAGTATCGTACCCAACCTCCAAACAAATAAAATCAAGAAATAAATATGCATAAAATAAAACATGATTGACGAGCGGAAAGACGATGTAAAGTTCTCGATTGCCTCGAAAACGGACTGATTAATTGACTGGCAAATCCTTATACATCCTGTAGATCAACGCGTCAGACGTTCTCTCGCTGAGTCCCTTGGTCGCGAAGTCGTCGGCGAGCATCGCGGCGACTGCCTCCGCAGCCGTTAAACCTAGAGGAGAAGAAAGAGACGAAGGAAAAAAAAGTCAACGACAGAATGAGAAATTAACCGAGTTAATGTCGCGCGAGATCGTTCCGTTACGAGCTCGTTCGGTCGCGTTCGCAAGAAAGTGAGGACTTTTACTCGAGTATGTCGGCGCACACCTACGTATATACACCTACGATCGATTCCGACGATTCGCGACGCGTTGATTGTCATGACATATACATATATCCCGTTCTCGTTTCCTCGTGTTACAAAAACAGAACGGGTACGGAACATTTTAAAATATAAGTCACACGCGGACTCTCTCTCCTGCTCTTCTTTATATGTATAATAAGCACATGTACTGTTTATGGTAATCGACAGCGGTGTCACAGGATACCTGTGTGTTCGATAAGCGGTATCGCCATATCGGCCTACGCGGCCTACGCCACTTTCCAAGAAAGAATTCGGCTTTTCATTCTGCCAAGTAATTGCGGAAGAGCCGCGTCGCGCAATAAAAACAAACGTGATTACACATAATCGGAAAAAACCGGATTTTTGGCTATCAATCGATTTAGTTTGGCAATTGATAAATCATTGTGCTTATTTTTCTTCTCTAAAAAGGAGAGTGCTACTAATTTTATTTACTTCCGAGAAAAGTAGGCACCGAATTTTGCGATAAAAGCAATAAGATGATTTAATCGTCTTGTCGCAAATCTATAATATTTAAATTGCTCATTCTTACCATAACTGAGAACAGCCTGCACCGGTCCCTTCTCGTCCATACCTTGAAGACTGATTTTCTCATCCTTCGCGGATAGCTTCGCTCTAGCAGCACGGACGATCACCAATTCTTCGTTGATCTTCTTCAGTTCCAGCGTAAAGTCGCCCACTACATCGGCTGTTGAGGCAATGGAAATATGACGCTTTTTATTATTTTTATGCGCAATCTCAGTGATATTGGAATACGAGTATTTTTCTTACTGAAGTTCCCGACGAGTAGACCGTTGCCGTGTAACATCTCCTTCCCCACTTTTCCCAGAAGCGTGTACTGAGACTTCACGCGAAGCAGCGGAACGCGTATTCTCAAAATCACATGCATCAGATCGTCCTAAAATGTTTTCAGACGTACAAGTAAATTACAGTATTCTTGTCATTAGATAAATGTGTATTAATTACAAAACACTTTCGAACGATCCTAATTTCTTGCTTGAGAATCAAGGGTGTTTAAATAATCCTACTTCGGATGTTTCCTCAGGATGCGCTCGTTTCGTTCTTTTGGTATCATTGAGATTACTATCATTTTTTGCGTCTATTCCATAATGATAGATCAGCTGCATGCCTTCCTCGAAGTACCCTTGCTGCTCTTGATAGGTTTTCGCATATCTGGTCAGATCCTTCAATCTTTTGGCTTCCATCGCAGCTTTAACCATGTCGTTTCTCTTTCTTAGGGCTTCACCCTCCGTAAAATTGTAGTTAATGAATTTCGTGCTCTCCCGAATGTTCTGTAGTACAGAGATTTGCAATTAAAACGTCTTGTAAATTATATGAAAACTTTGTTGAAAAATGTAAGTACAATTTAATTAGTATCTACAGTTTATTTTAAAAAAGATCCCGCGTAAATTAAGGGGAAAGAAATCTTACAATACCTTCATGACGTCTTCGATGCCGTATACTCGCCGATTCTCTCCGGCATCGGTACCCAGATTACCGAAACGCTTTACGCTGCCGTTGGTTTTCTCATCCGCGTAGACGATGTCGATGTAACCCAATCGCTCCCTCATCCCGTTTCTCGACGATTTAACATTGCCGGAAGATGCAACGTCCGATCGGTCCGAGTGCCGAGACTGTTCTCTGTTATACAACGCAGGCGGTCTTACATCATCCCGATTTTTCAATCTGGTCTCGACTATTTCCGACGCGGAAACCTGTTTTAATAAATTTGGTGATTTGAAAGTGTTGTTGCATATCGATTACACTTCATTTTCTTAATACACGTGTGAATTACATAAAAATATTACATAATAATGCAAGTAACATTGTGACAAATAATTAATATCTTACCTCAGCATCCCCGACTCGTTCACCGTAATATCCAGCATTGGCGCGTTGTCGATCTATATATCGTTGGTTGCCCTGATTTCCTCTAAATTGGGCGGCCTTTGTATCGTCGCAATCGATCGTGTCTCCACTATTCTGCAAATTTCCGCGATATCCTTGGAAACCTCTCGTTCTCTGCGCATAAATCGGCTGAACGTAAGCCGGTCGCTTGAAACTCTCGATATTCCCAGAATTCGTCTCAAAATTGTTCGACGCTTTCAAATTGCCTCTGTAAAAACCATCAGACGTGACATCGGGACGGAGAGGAATTCGTCCATCATACTGCCGACTTTGCTCGAACGTCCTGCCGTGTTGATCCTGCTGCAATCGGTCGAAGCGAGCATCTTGATATCGCGAAGAGGGCCTTATGTCAGCAGCTTGATTCGTGGGCGAAACGACGGCTTCAAAACTCTCCTTGGGTATACTGGGTTCCCTCATCATAGTGTGGAATCTATATCCGATAGAATCCACATCTCGCAGGTCGCTGTAACTCACGTATCCGGCCTGAGTTTCACTCAGGTTGGACCTCAGTCCGCCACGAGCGATGTGAATACTCTCCAGGACCGATCCATTGAGCCCGACGACCTCCAAGTTTTTCAGGATCACTCTGTAATTGGCGTCGCCCTCGGACTGATCAACTTTGATCAACGGCACCCTCAACGGGTCCAGTCTGCCTATTTTCGTCAAGCCTCCGGACACCGTCTTGTTCCAGAGCATCCGGGACATCTCCAGTAACGCGCATCTCGTCAAAGTCGTAGCGGAGAGTACCAGAAGCACATGAAGGACACCTCGCTGCGCTGATCTAACCATTTTGTCGAGGTTGATAATTTATTTCAATCCTGTTACAAGCGTAGAGTCGAGCGGAGAGATTCTTCGGGTATCTTCAATAAGGTATGTCAAGTTCCCACACGTAAATCGGTTTATAGATTAACACAAGTATGATACCGATGACGACAAATATCAGCAGAAAGCATATGGCAATCGTGCACATCAGCATGCGATTCAACATACGTTGCTCGTTAGTTTTTGATGCGCGATTCTAAACGGCATCTTGGAAATAATCGATGATGATTTCTTGAAAACTAATACTCGAGAAGAATCGGCAATCGCGCGCAAACATATAGATGACTGGTGTGGTCTGCAAGCCGGCGATGCTGGAGGTTTTTATAGTTGATCATGGAAGGGCATAGAGGATCTGGGCCATGGACCAGTCTTATATGATGCTAGCTAAGTGGCTCTTAGTCAGACATCGATATATTTTCTTCGATCAGTCTGTATAACATTTCCTTAAATTCCTTCATTATGCGATAATGGAGAGCAAGGTTTTTGAACAACCTTCCGTCGACACACTAAGAAAAAAATTTTGTTGGAAAACGCAAAATCCAACTGAAATATTTAATCCGATACGTTCAACTAAACATTAGTTGGTTTAACTAAACGTTAGTTGAATTAACTAATGCTTGATTTAAAATTTTAATGGTTGACATGAATGAACTATACCCTTTTTAGTGCAACTTAATAATTGCTGAATCAACCATTGCATCAACAACTATACAAATTTAATCCGTACAACCAATTATTTTTCTCAGTGCAGATATGACGAATAATTATCATAGATATAGAATTTCAAATAAGTATATGTTTCTCAATTGGATGTTAATGAGCGATTGAAAATTAAACCACATTGTATTGCACATCTATGCAAATTTAACTATGTCACGAAGAAGAAAAACGTAAGTCGTTTCATGTCGAATAAGCACATCGATTCGTCATGGGATTTATAAAGAGGGACAATGTGAGGACAATTATCGCTTAATCAGCGCATTGCGACGATCGACATTTGTGTAAAGTGACATTTCGACGTATCGACGAATTATTCTACGCATGGAATTCATCGTAACCACAATGAACACCAGCGCGAATATATGTGCATTCTTGTTTCTAACAATTGGATTCGTCGCAGGGAAAACTTGTGATATACGTAAGTAATATCGATTATTTTATAAAATAGTTTATTTAATGTAAATTTTTTTTATTTATACGGTTATTATAGATTATTGGATAGACGAAATGTCGGTTTTATATCAGTGATTTTCAGATAATTTCTAAAGAATATCTGTAATTAAAAATGTAATGTTTTTTTTTTTAAGAAGAAATCATGTTTATAATTTGATTTCTATTTAATTTAAGAAGACCCAAGAAGAATTAAAAATTTATTTTTTGATTGATAGACGTTTATGCATTTGTGCAATTAATATTTACTTATTTTTTATATTAGCCTTCTCTTGTGTCTTCTCTTAAGCGTGGAATTTAACTATTCACGTCAGTTTCCTATAATTGAATGTATTACGCGTAAAAACTAAAATAAAAAACTGAAACATCGCGCAAAAACTCAAACACTACTTTTATAAAAAAATCACGTTGCTTTAATATGATGCTATTAAAATGTAATATATGCTATTATCTCAAGTTTTTATTAACCCATTTTTCAACGATTTATATATTTGTGGTATTAAATATTAAATATCACTTAATTGTTGAGTTATTAATATAAAACGCGTCGTTATTTTAATCACGCAACGTTTGCGAGAAAAGAATTGCAAATCGCAGACCATCTTTTTTTTTAGCATCGTTTCTGAAGATATGCCACCGCAACGATCCGAAGCTGAACGAATGCGTAAAGCAAAGCATCGACTTGTTAAGACCTTATCTGAAGGCGGGCATTCCAGCATTGAAAATACCATCCTGTGAGCCACTTCGCGTGCCACGGATTGAAATTAGCCAGTCAGCCGGTCCAGTTTCCATCAGATCGACGTATACCGACATTGAGGTTCAAGGTGGAACGAGTTTCATCTTAAAAAGCGTTAAGTACGTAAGTCGAGCGATGAACCAGATTGAGAAACGAGTTAAAATTCATCCATAGCTCAAAAATCTGATGCTTGCAAGAATATTCTCTCATCTTAAACTACATATCAAATCGCATTAAAATTATTTATATCACAAATCGTCGTAAATAGTATATACAGAATTTATTTAGTCATCTTTTTCAGGGTCGATGTCGATGATAATCGCGTTAGGTTGAAACTATACCTTCCACGTCTTAAGATGAACGCTAGCTACAATATAGAAGGAAATATTCTGATGTTGCCTATAAACGGAAACGGATTGATGCGTGGTAACCTTTCGGATATTGACGTCATATCCACTGTCCAAGGCGAGCGTTATCAATCTCGAGAAACTGGTGAGACTCATTATCGGGTCACCGACTTGTACGTAGACTTCAACGTTGGACAAGCCAATATCCATATGGACAATTTGTTCAACGGTGACAGTACTTTATCCAATGCCATGAACCTCTTTTTAAACAACAACTGGGATATTGTGGAGGCCGAAATTAAGCCAGCTCTCGAGAATGCCGTTTCGGATATCTTTAAGACGTTCTCGAATAAGATTTACTCGAAATTTCCATTGGACACATTGCTGCCACCTTAAACGCATTTTCGTTTTGCACTTATTCTTTGTATGTAAATAGATTGTAGAAATTATTATTTACCTGTTTAGTTCCTTACCTTTGTTATCATGGAATTATGTATATGCACCTGTTTTCATTATTCTTGTTCAAAATGACGAACAAATTCTGAATGCATATATAAGTAATTGATTTTTTCGTAGCTTAAGACGTCATAGCAAATACGTCGAGTCTGAACACGTAATTTTAACTAGATGTGTGTAATATTAACCTTTAAAACCGGGAATGTAGTTTATATAATCTTGTGCAGCTAAAAGCGTAAATCAATACGTTTCCTTAATTAGTGTGAGCAAACATCATCAGCATTTTAAATGCAGTTCTACTTGTAAATAAAGCGCAAAAATGTAACGTATTCAGAACACTCTTTTGTGAATGTTCTGAATAATACATGTATAAATAATATCCAGCTAAAAATAATTCTATAAAGAAAAACTAAGTAATAAAGTAAAAATTAAGTAAATTAAGTAAAATTTTTTATTATATTCTCTAGAAAGTCTATTTTAAAATTTGGAGAATTAATAGTATTAAGTTTAGATTTCTATCTCGTAATGTAATTAAATATAAATAATATAATTATATATAAATTTAACGTTTTTACATACACGTATGATTACTAAAATATACAATAAAAAACTTTAAAATTTTATTTTAAAAAATATTAGAAAATAATTTATCTTCTTTAAAATTTATTTGCAAAAATCAATGTTATCTTTATACACTATTTATTTATTTTTTAGATTTTTTTCTAGTACATGTAATTATTAATAAATATATTTGAAATAATCAAATATATATCATCAATTCATAATTTTAAATACTTGTATCTTTTCGATATTATTTATAATTTAGACAATCGACATGATTTTATACGATCTACAAGTTTTATTCTCCTTCACGCTGTTGACCATTCTTACAGCTGAGTATACTTGAAAAACATCTCTTAGGCTTTCGAGAATAAAAATAGAAAGTTCTCTTGAACGATATAAAACACCTGTTTTTGAAGAAAACATCTAAAATTTAATCAAATTTTATTATTGCATTTTTTTGCAATACTAATTAATTAATTTATTATTATAATTGATATTAATTATAGTTTTACACTATGTTTTTACTTTATTGTCACAGTCACTATCATGGAAATCATGTATTAATAAGCGCTCGACAAGTACTGAAAATTGATTACTACATGAATAATTTTATTTGTGTGAACAACAAATTTGATATTTTTAATTAATTTGATAGCACGATAATATACACTGCTTTATTTATGTTTCTTTACACAGTACATTTGGATTTAGATTCCTTTCTAAAATAGTATTTGCAAAGGTCAAATTTGAAAGTTATTAAACTTTTACACACATAACAATTAAGATGTATGTATAATTGCAAATTAAAAATTAAATCTTATTTTAATTTATATTTTATAATATATTATATGCAGTATCTATATGCATATACAAACAACACAATCAAAAGATTTTTGTATATCATAAGGTAAGATAGAGATGTGTGTCGAAGTAAACTTGTCACTATGCAAAAAATGTTACAAACTTTTAAACTTCAAGTTATCTGTTCAAAAAGTTATTTGTCCGTATGTTGCGACTCAAGAAATGAACATTAAACAAATATTAATGTTAGCTAAGCTGTAAAAATAAATAACAAATTTGCAATAAATGTGCAAGTTATTTGAAAACTTATTTAAAAGAAAATATAATATTATTACCATAAACCAACTAACATATGGTAATTAAAGGACTATGAGAGTACAACGCGGTTATCCTTGGTGGTACATAATCCTATAAATAAAATTAATTTATTCAAATTATTATTATAAATCTTGTATGTGCGTAATTCAATGATGTACTTTAATCAATTATTCCATTAAAAATATACGATATAATATAATATGACCTTTTTTCAAATATTAGCAAAATCTATTATAAACCAAGAACAAATAATGCGCGAGCAGCAAGTTTATTAAAAATTATTCAATTAAAAAAATAGCAATTATATATATATATATATTTTTCGAACAATTCTCGTTCGTATAAGTTTGCACTTGCATATAAAGATTTCTTATACCAAAGTTCTGCATTTTCGGTCTTTCCCACTGCAATTCTGTCGACAGTCTCCTCTTTTACGATGTAATTATGAAACTTTGTCGCAATCCTTTTCAAGATCGTTCCACTTACCTCACGCTTAATTGTTGTTTATATATGATGCTTATCTTGCAACAAAACGTGCGACATAAAAAAAACATTCTAATAAATAGTTAATATTAATGTGCAACTTTTTCGAGTGTAATATAATTGTAGCAATTAATAATTATAATTATAAGTATAAGTATGATTGCAGCATTTATGTCTAGTCATTGTAAAAAGAAACTGAAATAATATCGGCAAACTGGTTTACCATATCCTTTGCAGAAGGTCAGTAGCTTTTTTTCAGTTAAAGGTTTAACTTTTTAGTTAAAGATTCTCAATGCAAAAAGATTTTTATACACTACATAAGGTGGAAAGGGGATAATTGTACGACGTCGAGGTGAACTTGGTTGTCCACTATGCAAAATTTTTACGGTATGTACGTCAAGTTATCTGTTCAACAAGTTATCTGTTCGCATGTTGCGCACGATTCAGGAAACGCAATTGAAGATCAGGTTCCTCGGAGGACAAATCTAAAGAGACAATGGAACATTAAAATGATCATGGCCGATCAAGTTCGTCAACAATCGTCGCGGAACAAAGGCAGCCTTATTGATTTATTTCATTGCTTTGACGTTAATGACGTTCAATGACCGCGCAATTTTTATCCAATAAACATAACATCGACTTAAATGAATTAAATTAAAAGTATTAACAAGTAGGGAAATTATTTGTAAAATGCTGCACTTATTCAAAAATAACAATTTTGACGATGCAGGTGTCTCTGAATTTTGTATAGCAAAAGATATTATAACTATAAATCCTATTTTAAATGCTTTATAATTTACATTAAATTTCAAAATACAATTATATTTATAAAATTTTATGTATCATATATATTTCAATATACAATATACATGTATATTGTATATTTTATACATACATATATACATACATATATATACATACATATATATATACATACATGTATATTGTATATTTTAATATATATTTCACGTAGGTATTGTATTTTTAATTCTTTAAAAATTTTTTTAACGGCACATCAAATTATAAATAAAATTTGATATGAAATCTAAAGCAAATTATGGATTATTTAAAATCGGTAAACAAAGAAAATACGAAAATTGTGAGAATAATCTTACAAAAATAAGACTTTGTAACATAGTTGAGATTTAATGTAATAAAATGTGATGTGAGAAAGGCAAGCGATAAAAGTCATGAAGATCCACGGCATTATTTTCCCATAGAATTTTTCGGCCATAAACGCAGAGCTTCGACAACAATATCCAATCACGATTGTTGTGATTGTCGCAACCGTATGTAAATTTTCCATGTGCAGCCGGTCATAGAACATCGGTTCAGGGCGCGTTGTCAAGGCAGATGTGGAAAGAGGTGATCACGACGGTTGGCTCCTTAAAGTCGGTAGGCAGTAGTGGCACCTTCAGAGTAGGGGAACCGCGCATATAAGACAGGATATGAAGGGGTCCCGTCCTTAGTTTATCAAAGTAGCCGTAGAACTCGTTGGCAAGAGCCTTCAATTCTCGTTCGCATTAAGTCCCTTCCCTTTATCGGTATCCCTTTCGCGAATTCATCGACGTCGATTATTTCCTGTGCGATCTTCGAAGAGTTGCCGGAAGCGTTGCCGGTGTTCAAGTTAAAAATCTCCATATAAGCGCCCCACGTGGGGAGGGGGTAATCGATCGCTAAGGATCTGCTCGCATTTTTACAGACGTAAGGACGAGAAAGTGAGGAGTGTCTCGTGTTTCTCGGAAAGAGTGGACCGCCAGGATGGCCTTCGCGAAGACAGCTTCCACTCTGCTCCTAGGTCTCTGGTGGGCCATCTTGGTGTCCTGCAAGGACCAGAATGTCACGGAAGTCAACAGCGGGTTTAATGAGCCAGATTTCCCTACTCGTAAGATCATCGTTTCAAATCATTGTTTCCTTCTAATTCGTGTCATCAATCAATTGTCAAATCATAATTACTAAATTGCATTTCACACAGTCGTTGGAAGCTGAGATGCTAAATTGAAACCGATTGCTATGCGGCATGCGCGTTTGTTAGTCATAGACGCCGCGGTGGTAATATTCATTAGATCCTTGCTCGCCCATGACACCGCAACGCAGACGCATACAAATTGTTTTCGATCGGGTTTTAAAATTGAAAGCAGCAATAAAAATACTAACATTATGCACTTTGGCACTCTAAACGTTTGTTAAAATTATAATTTTAACCTATATTTGCATTTTTACGACTACTTATAATGATTTATTTGCTAATTTAAATTTTAATGTCGAATTTCAAAGTTACAAAACGTCATATAATTATTCAATAAATTATTCATTAAAATCTTTGAAATTTAAAAGTAAAAAACCATGGAAGAATGAATATTATTTCACGCACTTCTGGAGAAAAGTTCATTACTCTTCTATTTAACAATTCTTACCATATTAACACTTCGATACATTAGGGCTCATTTATTTAGTCTATAAAATATGCATTTATTTTACATTAGCATTTATTCTACGGTAAGAAGAAGAGAAAGAGAGAAAGAGAAAGAGAGAAAGAGGTGGTCGTGTTGATTACGTTTGTACGCGAAAGATAATAGGAAATGATTACGCGAGAGTGTAATCTTACCTCGTATTTTCATTTACGTTTTCCGGCGAACATCTCGAGCATATCTGCCTTTCTCTTTCGTCGTAATCCGAAGAAATACAAACAATGGGCGTACCCTATGATTACGTGACGGAAGCCGTTGTCTTGATTGCACCTGCACTCTCCGCTATTGTGACTGCGCCAACCATCAATCACGCGAATTTTTCCGCGACGTTTTACAAATTCGATCGAAGCTATACGTTTGACTTTCGTGAATCATGCAACTGATATTCTAACCAAGATATTTATCCTGTTTTGTATTTTGATGCGTAGAACAGGTTTTTGCATCGCTGAGGTTGAAAATATTTTTTGAATTCCAATTATTCCATCAATATGCAAATTAGATTTTCATGAATTGTTTTATATTATTTTATTATTATATCTTTACCTTTTATATTACAGTTCCCTACAACAATGTAAAACTAAATTAATAATTGTATAAGCAATTAAAAACAATTAAAATTTTAAAAAGCGACGCATGAAAATATATATAAATATTTATTTATTATTGCTATAAACAAATAATTTTAATAGCAAAGTTATTAGAATTATCATTATTAAAAATGTTATTTATTTAGATAACTTATTTTATTTTTTGTTGCAATTAAAAAGTCAGAAATGATACAAAATAAGCACGACTTTATCTATTTTTAAATCTAAACAAAGCAAGAATCTCATATTGTTATTTATTTTAATACCCGAATGAATAGATAAAATATTAAGTTGGAATCCTTTCATAAATTAAACATACTGCATAAAAGTTAAAAACATGGATAAATGAACTACAAAAAATATGATCTTGATGACTAAAAATAGAAGCGATATTAAAAATTGAAGCTTGTTAAAACAATTTCAAAAAATTCAATGATATCGCCACGAATTTTCCGTGCTAATTCCGATCAGTTTATTTCACGCACAGTAATTAATTGTCTTGTAGAGATGTCAATTTTTTATCCAACAATAATGACAGCCAATCTGACAAAATAATTCGCGTGTGTGAAGCGCGACACCGGCTATGGTGGTCCGCCGATATCATGTCTCGGAATATGGCGTAACGTTTCTCGGCGACGTGGCGAAGGTTATGTCAGAGATTGCGTAATTCTCGGTGTCGAGGATCGGCAATCATCCGGAGAAAGTACCGGGTTAAAGCCGGTGTTACAACGATGTACGCAAAACACCGCCGATTCTCCACTGCGTGTACTTAACGTTGCATTCGAGTGACGATATTTCTTCGAGGTAGACACATCTTGCACCGGCAAATTAAACTCTAAACGAAGCAAGGGTACACACAAGTTTAAATCAGATCTTCTCTTCCTCAGTTCTCGGGAACGTAAATGTTTGGAAATAACTGCTTGAACGAGCGCTGATTTATCTGCGAGCTCTTGTTACGTTTTTACCGAATCTTTGTCCAGTAGCATTAGCAATGTCTTCCGCTTTCTGAGGCCGGCGCGTCTGAAACGTGGTTTATCGTCGAATTCAAAATCACCACTTTTAAATTGTTTAAAGTAATATTACACGCGCTACTAATCACAGCGCTCTTCCTACATGTTCCACTAATCGACTTTCTTGCTTCGGCAGCAGTTTTTCAACGACGAAAGTGATGAAGCAAACACGTGAGGGATATAGGCAGATTTTCTTCCTCCATTTTGGAGCAAACTAAGAGTGATTATATATTATATCCCAAACCTTCTCAAAAGTAATAATCCAAGAATGTGCGTATTCTTTTCTATTTTTTTCTCTCTTTTTTTAATTTTTGCATTGTAATACATTTTTATGTATTAGCATCATAGCCCATTGCTATACTTTTTTCTTCTTTGTCTTTTATTTTTTCACGTGTTCGGTCGAGTCGAACGGGTGTCCCAAGTGAAAGTGGCGATAATACGTAATAGTTATACCAGTGATGCGTCAAATGTTCCAGATTCCTACGCAAAATATACTTAATAATAGCAAGAAAAGACTAAAATGTCTTCAGTCTTTAATACAGATTTTAATTTACAAAGGTCAAGTGTTATCACATTTAGAATTGTCTCGATTGCTCGCATTACTATTTCTCCTTCCTTCCCATTTCAGTCTGTCGGAATGATCAATTAATCGTTAATAATGCAAGGTTCTTGAAAATAAAAGTAGTTATTAAAAAAGCATAAAAGAAAACAAGAAGACCTTGCAGAACAAAAAACGAACTAACAGCGAATGCTTTTTAGTAATAATTTATCCATTATAGCGTGATAATATAGGTAACTTTATTCATTAAGGATAATAATAAAACGTATCATTAAATTTTTCACATTACATTGCAACTGTATGCAAAAACCTTAGTGCTTTCTTTAGATACACGGGAATACATGATCAACTCGAACTAACAATTATATACACAATCACCTAGACATAACTAATTAACGAGATATATAATTACACTCGGAAAGAAAGTATCAAGTTAATAAATCGTTAAATATTGAAGTAGATAGATAGTAATCTTGAGAGAAAATCACTCTATAAATTAATTTTTCAAATAAGTATTTATGTAACAAATATATACATTTTTTACATTATTTAATATTTTATACACTATTAATATTTCACCTTATACACCTTAATATAATATTACATAATATGTTATAAAATAAAAATAGTAAATTATAAAGAACGCTATTTTAAAAGGTTTTGCCATTTTGATACAAAAGTTATTCATGTATTCCGTGTTCTAAAAAAAAAGCACATTTTATAGCCCATGAAGCCAAGGAATTTCTAGTGATGTAAAATGATGTTTTTGTAGTTAGATCGTAAAATGTAAAATACATAAAAATCAGCAGAATTTAAATGAAACAGTATCTGTATACATTTAAATCCGAGAAGAATATTACGTGTTCAGTGTTTAGAGAAGACGTCCTTAAGAAAGATTAATGGGGACTATCGTGACAGATACGTGCGTCGCCTATAAATGTCGCAATTAGTCCGTTGCTTAATATCGTGATACATGTTATCATTATTAGCATACCTATTATTAATTACATAATATCTGTTACATAATATTTGATCGCCTGCAGTCGAGTTTTCTTCTTTTTACAGCCGAATACATACTACCGTGCAACAGGAAAGACCCAAAGATCGAGTCGTGTTTTCTTAGCACGCTCACTCATATCCAGCCCTATTTGGTGAAAGGTGAGTGAAATGGCGATTCATCAAATTAGCGAAATGCATGATACGAGCTAGAGGAGATATAGTAAGTAGCACATAATTGCTTCTCTCTTAATTGACAATACTTTTCTTTTATAATGTAATTTAAAATCTTAATGTAAACAGAGAAAATAATACAGTGTCACCAAAAGAACTTGTAAAAATAACTTGTAAATTTTAGATCTTATAAGATTTATATTTTTCCCGATATAAAAGCAAGTTTAATTTCATTCATTGTAGTATTTTTTTTATTTATCTGTTAATATCTTGCTTGGAGTTACGATCATACGAATTGTCATTTCAATTTGAGCGATAAATTTTAATGTACCTTATAATATTTGTTGTAAAATTCTTAAATAGGTTTAATATAAAAAAATAACCGACACAATG